ATCAAAATACTCGAAGCAAAAATAACTAGAAAAAAATGCTGGAGTTTACATTAGAATTTCCCAATCACTTTAAAAAATCACATTCAAAGAGAGAATAATGTCAACATCAATACTCGATGAATGTTATACATGTAAATCTTCAGCGGTTGCCGGAAGACGGTTCAAGTGACAAATAAAATGACTGGAAAATTGTTGTTAATTAAAAATGTTAGGCCAAAGTATACCTACAAATATCCATTGAAAGTTGTATATATTTTATGTAGGAGTTAATCATTATTCACTACATATCCTCATTTTTTTAAATTTTGTTTATTCATTTATTTATTTATTATATCGAATAGCTTATTAAATATTACTTTCATTTATAGCAAAATCAGATGCATCTCTGCCTATTGTAACAAGTCATAATTTGCTTATATATGACTTAAACTGTAGCAATAATCCATTTTTATAGTAGATTGGCTATAAAAATCGAATAGTTTGAACAAAACGAACAAATGTTTATTTCTTTTTTGGTGTTCCTTCGTGGCTTTCTTTTTTACCGCATTTATATTTTTTTGTTACCCAAATTAGATAAAATTGAAAGATAGTTTTACAATTTTTAACGAAAGTTGCAATTTAAGTTTAAAGAAAAGCATTTAAGTCTACAGAAAGACTTGAAATACTTATTTCAAAACTGCTTTTTTACCCAACTCATTAATGGTATTTTGTCCATGCAGACATTTCGTGTCTTGTCTTGTGTCTTATAGATAATGCAGTAATAATAAATGAAAATATAAGAAACGGCGTAATATTCGATAAACAAATCCCCAAATCAACATTTTTAGTGTTTCATTAAAGGTCTCAAATGTAAAAAAAATATTTTAGACTAGAAATATTGTTTAGTTATATAACAAAATCTTATTTAAATTGCACTAATATGACGTACTTGTACAATAAGAAAATTGAAAAAAAATTATAATATATTATTTTCTGTAACCACCAGCCGATGTAAATAAACACTCTCTTGTTCAGTGTGGCAAGTAAAGTTAAAGGAACGTTGGAATGGATCCGCAACTTACCGCTATGTAGCTGTATCCCTATGTAAACCAAAAAAAATTTCCTTCCTTAATCAACAACAATAAAAAAGCACTATAAACACAACATCAGTAAAACATACTTTAAATAGATCAAGAGTATAACCTACTACAGTTTTAAACAATTTTCAACTAACCAGTCAATTATTATGAACCGCCCAAGATTATCTTCTGGTCCCTTTTTCCGTACGATTCACTTTCGAAGAAAGTGCATACTTACCAGTCGGTATCAAAATAAAAGAAGAAACAAAGTGATAGTTTGCATAACACCGCCTGTTACCATTTCTTGAAGGTGAAGGTACAATCTGAAGTCAATGTCTGGTAGAAAGGATAGTTAGTATCTGTATCTTTTCATGCAAATGGAAAAACATAAAAAACAGAATCGTATTTAGTTAATGTTTGCAGTTTCAGATCATTGGAGCAAGCCACTGTATTTTTTAAATATATTTTGTGTGTTGCTTTAAAGGCCTTTAACAAATTCTTTGGCAATTAGTGGGAAAATAGGCCAGATGTAGTTTGCTGGGTAAATTATTTCTGAAGATAGGGCAACGTCAGGACGCTAAAGTTTTTTGACAAACTGTCTGGAACGGATGGTTTTATTTAACACAACACCACTTTTTTGCAATGGTTTTTTTTAATTTATTTCGCTTTAGGTACCATTTCTATGATCAGTTTGCAGGTTTTTGATTTACTATCGAATATTAACTATTTTATGTGCTTGAGCGTCTTATTTTATTTAATGTTGTAATGTTTTTATCTACATTAATCAACGTTAGGCAGTAAAAAATAATCAAGCAACACATACCAGAACAGTTTATCGTTAGTCTGGAGACAAAAATCAAGAACAGTTAAAAAATTAATCATAAAAAAAACAAGTCTGAATAAAAGCTGCCACTAATAAATGTTCAAGTACGATACTGGGTACGGTTAAGGAGTGGCCCCTTTAATTTCTGTAATATGATCATTTTCTCAACAGGAAATCTTTCTCTTCTCATTCGGAAATCAATAAAGCGTTTGTGGGCATTAATTAAGACCGGCGTAATTAACGCAATATGCAGCCCAACTATTAAATACACAAGGCACGGTCAACCATATGATTGAATTACTGAACAATTTTTTATATGAAAGCTTGGTTGAAATAATAATTTCTATATATGAAAACATACATCAAAATGATACTATTATTTAACTCAATTAGACTTGAAAGCTTGATTTGTTAATACTGTAAATTAAGTTAGCACAAAAACATTCTGCTTCCAGTCTATTTCCTTCATAAGTCTGGTTAAAATTTAGTTACACCAATATTGAGAAGTAACAATTTTTTTTATAAAATTGAGGCAATATAATACACAAAAAAATTAGAAAGTCTTAGTTTTTAAATAATTTATCTGAGTAGCCAATTTTTTTCTATTTACCTGGCTTATATTCTACACTTCCGCTCCATAAACAATCACACTCTGTACGATGCTTTCATAGATGCATAGCTTGGTGCTTTTCCTTATATTTTTCTCCAACAGTAGTGAATTTAATGCTCCATTGGCTTTCCTGCTCGCTCATATTCGTCCTTTAGCTTTCTTATCATGCCGCTCAGATCTTATTCGTCCTGAGCTATCGCGCAAAAAGACTATGGAGTGTCTCGTCTGCCACTTTCAGACCCACATTTCCGCATTTTCTTATTCATCCTTCTAGGGATCGGTCCAGGTATATTTAAAATAGCGTGGGAGACAGGCAACACCCCTGTCTCAATCCTTTCGATGTTAGGGTAGGTATATTGTTATGTATATGTAAAATTACCCGTTTTGATTGTGGCCAATTGGCTTTATAGTCGTGTAGCTTTGATTAGAGAATGGTTGTTTTCCAGGTTTTTTCATTTTTATCCATCCATAGTCCTGACGTGGGGACACTGTCAGAGGTCTTCTCAACGTCTATTAGAGTGATATGCGTGTCTCTGTTACGTTCAAGATCTTTTTTCAATGGCCCGTTTAGTGTTAAGAGGTTTTTGATCGTCCATCTGCCCGCTCTTCTGGTTGTTTGTCATTTATGTTTTCCTTTATCAGATTCTTTAGGATTCGCGAATATATTGTCCCTTATTTTTGGTAGTACCGCTATACACCTGTAATTGTTTGGGGCGTGCCTAGGTTCCTTCATATGTATAGCTATTATATAAGAGGTTATCCATTCCTTTGCGGTTTCTTCTCCATTTAGGCTTATTTCATGTATGTTCTTTAGCTTCTGTGTTAGTTTGGATGGTCCTTATCTTCCGGGAGATTTTTCCGCCTCTTGCACTTGTGCTATTTCGGGGTGTATACGGTCTTGATTTTCTGTCATGTATTGCGATGGCGGTTCTTCCAATAGGTGTTTAAAATGTTCTGTCCACTCTGAGTGTTACACCATTCAGACCAGTTCCTCTGTTTGTTGCTTGTTCTCATTGATTTTATGCTGTCCAGGCCTCCTATGTGCTGGTCTATATCCCCTGTATGTTGGTACGAGGTGTATTTGTGTATATCTTTGTGTGCGAAGAGTATGTTCGTTATATTTAGGTCATATTGGTCACAGCTACTGATTCATCTTTGTCCGTGATCGCTTATCGATTATTCTCCATATTTTACAACCACTTTATTATTGTTTTGCTTACCCACTCTTCCGTTTAGGTCTCCTCCTATTATGATTTCATGATCATTCGGTATCTGGTCAATGATGTTTCTTATTTCTTCTTCAAAGGCATCTTTCGTTTGAGCTCAAGCATCGTCATTGTATATGTCTTCCTCTCTTTTGAATCGTCAATTTCATAATACGTTCGCTTATCGCGTCCCATAGTCTTATCTATTTTTGCAGTATCTTGTGTATCAACTCCGCTGTAAATAATAATAACATCTTTAACCGTTTCATTTCCTTGTCTTTCCTTTTCGTTTCAGAGAGGATTGCTATTTTTAATTTACACTGGATACATTCTAGGACGATTTCCTATTGCTTATTTCTTATTCCCCGCACGTTCCACATTCCAAAATTCAGTGTCCATTCCCGTTATTATACTTTTGGATCCGTCCGATTTTTGGTGTGAGTGTAATTTAAAGTGTAAAAATGAAAAAAGATATTCGGAAAATGAAATTTGTATTTCGGGTAAAGTACAAGAAACAATTTTTATATCGGAAAGTTATCACTATAATAAAACTCTGTACGGGTTTGCAATTTGATCCGCGAATAAATGCCCAGAATAAGTCACAAATTAACAGAAAAAATCTTCTATTCTATCCATAAATTAATGCTTTCCTACAAGAAATATTTCATGTTTTAATCCGGTGTTTGTTGAAACACAACACATTAACTTTCAGCAAAAAATGCAAAATACTTTCTTACAAAAAATGTTTTAAAATTGTTGATAAATATCCGTTTGGTTAGTGTTGGGGATAACATTAGAATATTGTTTAAAGGAAAATATATTATTTTTATTATTTATATCTATATTTGGAGTCTAACCAGAATATAACATACATTCGAAAATCGACTTAACTTATTTAATAACAACCAAATATAAGAAAACTGACATTGCCGAAGAATTTACTAGTAATTCACTAAACAATATTGTGGGAAAAGCTAGTGAAAATAGCAACACGAAACGTTAATAAAAAGCCGGAAATGTTGATTATTAAAAATATATACATATTCTAACAACTCTGCAATTAAAATTGAGCATGAAAGTTCACCTGACCAAGCAAGAGAACTGAACTGTACTTTTTAAGCAAAGAAGCAACAAAAACGTTTATTTTCAGTAACAGTAGTACAAAAAACTGAAACAATAATAATGAACAAAAAACTTTTAAAATTGAAATTAAAACATTGCCATTGCCAAGGTAAACGCTCTGCTAAATATTTCTTCTGCTTTCTTCCCGCCTAGTCGCCTGCATGAACGACCTTTCATTTGTTAATTCAAAACTGTAGCATATAAATAGAGAGTGAGAAGCTCATATTACCGCATTTCATCCTGATTTAGTGCAGTGTGATTTCATAGATTGATCGTAGCCGAATACGCAAAATGGCTTCCGGATATTTGGTAAGTAGCGATTAACTTCTGAGGAAATGACTTACCAAATTGTTAGGCATGCCAAATATTTATTTTATAGAAGCATTAGCCCTAGCAGAAGTTGTACGTAAATAACAATAGTGTTAAATGCAACTTCGTGAGTGTATTAATTTCTTTATTTACAATTTTTATTGCTGAATATGTTGCGATTTTGTTTTAAAAATATGAAGGCAAGAAAATAGTTGAAAATGATAAAAATACTTTTTGCTCTTTTGTCATTTTTTTATATATATTTATTGCATTGTTTTCAGTTTGCGTCTATTTTGGTCCTAGCCCTGTTTGAGTATTGCAGTGCTGGAGGTGGAGGACATGGAGGAGGGTAAGAATATATTGCTATACATTTTCGAGCATATAAATCGTTCAATTTTCTCTATTTTCCCATATCAGTTATTATCGATCTGTATCAATTAACGAAGGATTTCAAATACACGATCCTAATGTTGATTATCAGTTCAGCTATTTTCAGTTTGTAGACGAAACCGATAAAATTTGAATAAAGTCCTCATTAAAAGTCTGGTTTTTTGGGCTACCTCAGAGACGAATTAAGATAAACATCTAAGTCTAATGATATATTTTTTTTAATTTATGCTCCCCTTTCACACGGATTATGCTTGTATGTTCCTAAATAATCACTGATACTTTCTAAGTAATTATAATTAAGTTATCCGTGTAGAGTGGTCAGTGCCGGACAACTCTCTTTTTTGAATATTAAAAAAAATTAATTCAGTAGTTGAAATCTTCTAAATTAAAAATACGGCTTCAAAATCGAATTGAAAAATTCACAGCTAAATTAAGACGTAAATAAGGCAATCTGGTTGATTATTTTACTTCTCCCCATCAATGTTTAGCAATCGTTATTTTGGAATTCCAATGCTAATGTTAATTAAAATTTATAACAAATCGGTTGTAAAGGTTTTACAGCTTTTACAGCAATAAATGGTGTTTATGGCGCTGAGATGTTTTACCCATTGGCCGATCGGATTTCACATGGAAGATAATTAAATAATAAAAAACTGAATTTTCTAAAGACTTTACATATATTTTAAAAAGATGTTTTCACTCTTCTTCCATTAAATATATATTAAGAAATTCAACGCTGTTCTTTTGGCATTGCATTGAACATTCCTGTTGCAAATCATCCACTGGTTTAACCAGCTGAAAGAGAAATTATTGATTTACTTCCGGAAAAAGGGGCGTGAAAGTGAAAGCATTTCTAAGTTCGCCTTAATGTAATACCATTATCAGGGATCTTAATAATCTGATTTATTGACTGTGAAAGCTTCGCTCAAATCACCCAACTTGACCATTTGAAAAACAAATCCCATTAAACCCGATTTTTTGTTTTATAAAAATAATCATCCGAATTTCAGTTCATCCCAAAGTGGCATTGTGGTTAATATATTCATCTTCATTTCCTGCTTCGAGACAATTCTTGAAGCAGCAAAGGAAATTGCTGATTAATGCCTTCATTGTTTACTCTTGAAATTCTATACGCTTGAGTGAGAGGAATGTAAAAGCAAGAAGCAATTTACTCGGTTTTTCAAGAAGTAATCAAGAAACCATACTGGTTACGGTAGATATAGAAAGGCTTTCTTTCGTTGGCACTATCAAGATCAGTTGCCATTGGTTGATGTGGTGTATTTATTTGTTTAATAAGAAAACGAGATAGTTTTGCATTTTTTAACAGCATTGCTTACTTTCCAATATGACCACTCAAAATATGTCCACTTAAGCACAACTAATTATTGACGCCCAATTTTAATATCTAAATATTTTCGAATGTTCCTATTTGTTATTTAGCAGATTTCATTAACTCCTACTTGCTAATTTTAGGCTTAATTGTCACTTCGCTTTGAAGTGTTTGATGCTGATTTTTGAAACAATCGGAAAACAAATGTGAACTAATTATGTTTTGTAAGGACTGTTTATAACAGCAATGTAATCCATAAAATTTTAAAACGAGTTTATAAATATGCCACTTAACTTTATTCGTTGTTCTTTATATCATTTTTGGTCCCTAATTACTGCCTAAATATTTTGCTATTTTTGGCTTGTTCGCCTTTCCAAATTCCTGTACTTTTTACTTCATCGGCCTATTTATTTTTTCTCAATATTTTCGGCTGCTTTTCCCGCTGATTTTTAAGCAATTTTCACAATATACATATATAAACCTACGGTTAATTTTTTTAAACTGTTTTTGCAATCTTTCCTTACTATCTGTTTGTTTTCATACATATTTGAGAACACTGCAAAGAGCGTTTTCTGCATTATTCATTCATGGATTGATTTGTCGCCTGCATTTTTCTGAGTTTATATAACTGTTTTTTTCAGTTGAAAATTTAAGTTGCTTTTCAACTTTCTCGCTCATTAAAACTTAAACATTTGAGGTTTAAATGTTTGCATCAGTAAAGTTTGCAGCATTTTGCATTAAAATGGCATTTTTAATGATATAACTATTGTTTTAATTTGTTCTTGTATTTCGTTTACATTATGCTTCGATAGTTTAGCTACGTTTTTATTTTTTAATAGTTTGCTTTTTTATCATTTTTCGTCTGTAATTAACACTTTCCCAATATACAGTAATTTTACAAGACAATCTGACTTTTCAATGATTCCAATTTACTGCTAAACAGACATTTTTCAATAATTGATTAAAAAAACATCAGTAAATTATCCGAAATACGTACTTTCATTTTCTTTCCCAATACAATTTCGTATGTTTTAGTATTTTGTAAACGCATTCCATTGCTTTTCCAACAGTTTTTCAGCTTTAGTTTTCACTTTTTTTTATTGGATGCTTTTTGAAGGTTTATTCTAATTACCCCGTAAATTAATATCAGCATTTGCATTTCTAAAATATCCTTAAACTTATATTGCAAACGCCATCTAATTGATTGAAATTTTCATTATCAGCTTCTTTGCAAATATCTCCCGTTCTTCACCGGAGTTTTTTTGTATACTTGTTTACTTTCTGTTTTTACTATGTCTTTGGCATTCCTCATTTATTATTTAATAAATCAGTAACAGTTTTTGAGGATATTTTTTGAAGAAAGAACTGCTTTGTCTCTTTCTTATTTAACTTTCTTCATAATATTTATTAGTAAATTACCTACTAGTTAATAATTAAAACTTTTCAAATGCTACTTCGGTCGGCTTCATGCTTTCTAAATCGTTTTGAGGACCAGCTGAATTTTTGTTCCAATTTTCCCTTTAACTCTCTTTCTTTATTACAAGTAGCAATCAGTTTTTGGTCGGCGCGTTGATTCTGGAAAAGATTTCAACTGTTTTTTACTTGGTCTTTGGCTTCTTTCAAAAATTTGTTTTGTAAATTGCTAGTAAATTGTTTGATACTTTTGCGGTCTACCTTAAGACTTATCTGATTTTCAGGAATACTTCTTTTCAGAACGTGTTTAAAATCTTTTTTGCTTGCATTTCGACTAATAGTAGAACTCTAATTGAACAAAAACAAAAAAATCTGGCGTGCAGATAAAAAGTAAAAATTTGTTTTCTTTGCAGACACAAAAAGGTAATCATCCACGTGCCGTACAAAGTCAACACCATCCACCACCACCACACAGTCTACAAGCATGTTGGAGGTGGCGGAAAAGATGAGGGCGGTTACAAGGTGATCGGATATTCTGGTGATGGTGATGTCAGTCTCGGACATGGACAAGAAGTTAGCTCAGACGGCGGAGAACACGCTGGAGGCTTCACAGTTGGAGGCGACCATGGATACTGGCACTCAGGTAGTTAGATCTGATCCAGATCCTCCTGAGCTTCATATCTTTCAATCTGTCATCGTTTTCATTTCATCAGTATTCATTACATTTATAGTCAGCCCCTCTACAAAACGTTTCATCCCTTGCTGGGGTTTCCCAGCGTCTTGCTCTGCTTGGGAAAACTTTCCAATGAGCGGAGTTTCAGCTCTAAAGTTTTCAGTTATAAGTAGTTCGAAGCTTTTTGGCTTTCAAGCCCAACTCTTTCTATAAACATAGTCCCTCCAACTTAACCCATTTTAACCGCCCTGGAGTCGATGCCCTCAATGAAGAGATGCAGCCAGAAACTCTTAAATTCGACTAATCTCCCTTGAGCATGATCCTTCACGGGGCTTGCCTGTTTTCCATCCTATATTAAAGGTAATTATAACTAGTCCATTATCCAACACTAACACAACATTTACAAATCACCATCAAACTATCCAAAATACCCTCATGAATAAAAGTTAACTCTTTCAAATAACTAACTAAAAAATTGCCCATTTATATGTTCATTCAACACTATTCTATTCTATCTGCACGAGAGCCCTCCAGCTCTAAAATGACTCCAAAATCAATGTCTCTATTCCAGGAGGCCAAGAAGCTGGTATCGAATCTGGCGGAGGACACGACTGGAGCGGCGCCGGCCTGGAAAGTGGCAAAGGATTTGAAGGAGGCGACTTAGGAGGTCTTGGAGCCTACGGAGGTGGCCACGACTTTGGTGGTTATCAAGGCGGTGACTCCGGAGCCAGTTTCCACGGCGATCTAGGTGGTCACGATCTTGGAGGAGGTTCCGCTGGTTACGATTTGAGTGGAGGCGAGAGCTATGGAAACTCCCTCTCAAGTGATGGAGGTCACAGTTTAGGAGGTGGTTTAGAGGGCGGTTTCAGTGGTTATGGAGGAGGCGACGACGGAGGCCATAAAGGCTACGATTAGATTTCGTCAAAAGACTTGCACACACTGTGTTACCTGCATTATTTCTCCCAACTAGTCTGTTTTATTGTATAGTTAGTTTTAATTTAATGTTATTGTTGTTGAGTTAATGTTATTCGTTTTTTACTGTTTAATAAAAAAATGTGTTAAAAACAGAAGTGATTTTTTTCCTAATTTCCATTGCCGTAAGTAATTCGAAGAGTATGCAATAAAAAATTATGAGTTTTACAAGTACAATCCCACAAAATTGATAATTCGAAATATGTGCAATTGCTTAAAAAAGTATCTGATTGAGTGGAATGATGAAAATGTTTCCGATTGGGAGCAATAGAATTTCGATTTTGATCATTTTTCGTAATTTTTGAGAATAAAAAACAACACAAAACACAGAAATATCCACATTTATGCTAAAGCAGCAAACATTTTGATGCAAATTCTCGTGTTCTACGCCTGCCGAACTCATGATGTAAAAAAGCCCTCTTTTTTGTTTCTTAGTGAAATAATTTTGTTTTTTAAATATCATTTGCCTTTATAGTTTTTAAAATTAAGTAAATTTCAACCTTCCAGTACCATAGCACAAGTTTGGTAAAAGTCACATTTTAAGTAAAAAAAGGCAAAAGTTACAACAGACTAAATAACAAGCCTAAAGAAGATTCTTTAAAAATAGTTTTCAAAAAGATACGCTGTTCAGATCACTATCTTTTCACATAATTAAAAGTATGCATATTTCAGTTTCTAATTGATCACTGATCTGGATCATTCGATCTAGTTGAGAGAAGTTGAAAAAATACGCAAAATGAAACCGTTGGTACTGCGAGAAAGTGGCATAGAAAAGGCAAAAACGCAAAAAATTGTGATGTTTCTTTAAACGCGTCCAGCGTTTTAAGACTGAATTAATTTTAAATGGACGTCACGGTCTCCCGATCTGTCGTATCTGGACTTTTTCTTCTGCAAATAAAACGTAGTGTGAGCTTCAGAACTAAAGCAATGCAGTTTTAATAGTACACTAGTAGTATTTTTTTAAATGTGTCATACAAAATCTTTACGAGAAATTCTAAATGTTCTAAACTAACAGAATCTCCATTAAGAAAATCAATTGAAACAAAAACTTATCTAGAAAATGTTGCTGCAAAAAAGAGTAAGTTGCAAACATTTAGACTCGGACCTTTATCAAATATATTTAATTCAGTTTTTTTTATTAAAAGGAAAACAATTTAATTTAAACTGCCGTGAAATTAAGGTTTGCATTAAAAGATCAATGATAATTTTATCAAATTGCTTTGATTCTACTCTGCCTTCATTGTTATAATATAATTGGCAAATATGTTGACAGTACATTATGTACCATTCGAGGATTTTTGAGAAATTCTCCAAATTTCTAATTGCTAATTAATTAGACTAGATTATTTTCTTTGTATAGCTGATTAATTTATACGAACGTTAGGAATAGGAATTAATTTTAGAATAAGTTAGGCTAAGGCACATATATACTAAACAAGGGCAGAAAGACCGATTGGGTCGATAGCCTTTTTCTGTAGGAAATAAAGATTATTTATATATATATAGACGAAATGAAACTCAAAATAAAGTTTCATAGTAACAAAATTTAAAGTTTTACTTCTTCGGTTTTGTAACTGAACATTTATACATATAAATTTATGTAAGGCAATCTTATAATCAATAATTCTCTAGTTAAGAAATTAATAAGAAGTTTCCACTCGAAGTCTCCTTTAAGGTCTTTTAGCCGTTCACAAAATTGCAAGTGGGTGATTCGACAAAGCTATTTCAACATCTCATTCGAGAGTTTAATTGTTACGATTGATTACATAACAGTTAGAAAAATATCGCATTTCTCTACACTGGTCTTGGGATGTTTACTTCCTGATTTATTAAAATCAAGGTGAACGCTTCGATAATTTCAAACTACCTACCAACTGGTGTAGATAGATATTCCTTCTTCGGATCATTTCCTTTCCTTTCATTCATTACTGCTGAAATTATGGCATATAAAGGGAAAGTAGTGTGTTTTAACTACCATATCTTATTCGCATTTGGTGCAGTGCACTTCTATCAGTTCAGACTCTTACAATTATGACCTCAAAAATTTTGGTAAGATTAATCAAAATTAAAAATTATTAAATTAATTAAATTAAGTAAATTATCCAAAGATAATTTACCATAAGTATAGAGCAATCAAAATTTATCCAAAAACCGAAGTTTCAAAGTTGATTATCTTCACTTTTTCCAACTTGTTTCAAGCTATCTTTATTTGACTTCAAAGGCAAAAAATCYAATCAGTTAAAAATGTAAAATCTATGTTCGGTTATTTTAATGCTTTTTTAGATCTCATACATAATTCTGCACTCGGAAGTCCAATTGTGTCAATCATGCTTAATGGCTGGTGAATTATTTTTGTGCCAAAATGCTACAAAAAGACTGTATATATTATTTCCCAATATAAGTATTGTGGATTTATTCTAAAATATGTTTTAAAAAATTTCAGATTGCATCAGCTTTGGTTCTAGCACTCGTGGCGCTCAGTGAATGTGGAGGCGGAGGCCATGGAGGAGGAGGGTGAGTTTAGTACAATTTTTAGGTTGATTTAAACTAAAGAATCACTATTTTTCTCTATAGATTTGATTAAAAAAATGCAAAAATTAAAGGACGTAAGAAAAATTTGAGCGTTTGCGCATCCATTAAGTAAAAAAATTACCGGTGCTTCTCCGCCAAGAATAACTCTATAAAACTGATTTAATACATAATGTCGCCAGATCAATACGGAAATCCAGATAAACTTTCATCTGGTTCTACAAAAGCGAGCAAATGTTAACAACCTCTCACTTTACGTATAAAATGTCGATCTTACATAATAGGCGAATTATCTGAATGTTGTGGTGTTGGTCGTGCATACTTTCGCAGTAATTAATCAATCATATTTGGCTACTGTTAATTGCTTTCAAGAACCGCAACGTGAAGTTATGCAATTAATCGATTAATTTGTGGCCTAAAGCGATTGAGTTGGGTATAATTCAAAAACTAATTATTATTATATATGAAACCATAAAATAAAAATTTCAGGCACAAACATGTAGTCATCTACGTTCCAATCAAACATACCAATGTCCACACGAAAAAGATCGTCACAAAACACATAAGAATTACTAGTGCAGACGATGGAGAAGTAGTGAGCCATGGGGGAGAAGGCGGGGATGCATTTAGTCATGGAAAAGTGTCTGGAAGCATCCATATTGGAGAACCCACATATTCCCATGGAAGTTCACATGGATGGCATTAGCATTAACTAACCGAAACATTCTGTAAATAGTTTCCTTTCTACTTTTCGTTCACTTACTTTGTACATACGTGTAGTTAGATAGTCTTTCTGGCTTTCAATTTTTTATCCTACTTACTTAAATTTGGTTCTCCTCATTATTTCTGTAGGTCAGTCCGAAAACTGGTGTACTTGTGGATGGTGATTTATCTACTTGTTCCTGAGATCCTTCAATAATTCTCGTTAAATTTCAAAAATATAAAAATAAATCAACTGCCTAGAATAAAGGCAGCTTAGGCAGCAGGAATAAGGGATAATTCATATATTTTTAGCGATCCTTCTCTTCTTACAAGTTATTCTTGTCATATTTTCTTCTAAAATTGCTAAATTACTGAATATTTCCTCCATTTCCTTAACTTATTTTCATTCATATTAATTACTTTTCTTTCTTAACGGTTATTAATAATGCTAATTCATTCCAAATGATGTCATTGGTTTTATAATTTGGTGAGTATCCGTTTATTATTTTTGAATCAATATTTAAAATAAACTAAATGGGTTTTTTAACCGTTGCGTAGTCTTTTGCTGGTTTTGGTGGACGCAGCACCCGCCTCTGAAGATGTGAGCCACATTTTTGAGGCTTTTGATGAAATGGCTTAGTTTGCAAAGTTTTTGATATTTAAACTCTTAAACAAGGCAATACTTAAAGCATGCATGTGCAACAAACACAATAAACAGCGACTGGATGGATTCCTTACTAAAGTTACTAATTTACTTTGAATACTTTTTGAGAAATTTTGAAAACTTACGGGTTGTTTTAAGTGGTCAAATTTGGTTCCTCCAATTATGGAAATGAAACTGGTGAGCTTTTAGGTAGTGGAAAACTCACCAGTTTTAAGCAATGGCTGCGAAACCCTAAATCTATATTTGGATAGATTTTTAAGTTTGGCTTTTCCCATTAGAAATCCAATTTTTTTTACATTTTGTGATATTTTATTACAGAATCAAGGCTATTGACGGATATGAAAAGAAGGATTCAGATTTACCAGTAACAATCACTTTAGTCATGAGGGTGACTTTGTTACAGCGATGAGAAAGTGGTTGGTGAAATGTAAATGGAATAGCTTTTCAACTGGATACGGTTTTCGAGATCATAATTATACGATAATTTTTCTCAATTTGTCGGGTTTGCAAACCTGCTTGGTTACTAGTCTGAACTGTACAATGTAATTTAGATATTATTAGAGTTTATAACTGTTGGTTGTTATGAACATGTTTATTAAACATCTGTTTTTCGCAAAGGGTTGTTTTCCTTTTGAGCAAACTGCTTCTCTGAGGTTTCTCTAACCCAATCAAAAGAGTGATTCCATTTCTCAAAGACCATGTTCAATTAATTTGAGCAGATGAACTTTATCTGCTTGCAGAAAAAATGATTAAAGACACTAAATGTTCAAGCAAGAAGTCCTGCAAATGTTTTTCCTAGAAATAATTTCAGAAGAAAATTACATTAAAAAATATACGAAAACATCCACTATATCACTGATTTTGGTTAGTTTTATTCAAATAATCGATTATCCAACAATTAAAAACGTGGCAAATTTTAACAACATTTCATGGGAAAATACGCAGGAAAATATTTTTTGCGGTTATTCGGAAGTACGGTAGAAATTGATTCAGACGACAAAATCAAAATTTTTCAATTAGTGGGTTTAAGCGGATTAGATAAGAGATGATTGACCGAAACCCGCAACAGATTAAAGAATTATGGGAGAAATTCAAACAATATAAAACAATTTTCTTTGGGTTTTCTGTCAATAAATCAGTGGCAATGTTACGACAAATACTATTGTGAAAACAAGTGATTTTGCACTATGAGACTTACGATCTTTATTTTTGTTTTCATGGCATATTTTCTTAGTGCGGCGCTTTCGGATGGTCATGGAGGAAAACAGTGAGTATTTGTTCGCATAAAAAAATCAGGTAAAACGTGAATTTTTCTGGATAAAAGTAGTAAATTTCTTATTGGTAAAATGCGTAATGTATTTTTCTAATAAAGAGCAAAGATTCATATTCTTCTGATGAATTAAGGGAAGGGTGCCATATTGGATGAAGAATTGAGGAACGTTATAATGATAGCTAAATATAATTTTTATGATCTCCTAGTTAATTCCATCTAAGGTTTGAAATTTATGAAATTCAACAATTAAACTTTGAAATATGTCAGTGCTTACTATACATAAAAATAATATGTGTAGATTCACTTTCATAATCCTAAATATAAATAAAATCTTGCAAAGCAAACAACTCGATTTTGAGAGAAAATTCGTAACTTACACATATTTCCTTGATGTTTCTTCCTAACGTTTCGCTAACATCTAAACAAACATTGCTGGTTTTTTATGTAAAATTGATTGTGAAAACTGTCGAACTACAATGCAAACGTTTTCCTACCGCTTTATTTGAAAAAATACCACAAAAGCGCATAAAACTGTTATTCGCTTATCAAGCAAGCGAGGTGATAATATTCCAACCTTTTACAGTGTTCACGTCAAGATATATACGCCAGTGTATAAGCATGTGCACAAGCATACTCACACAATCATCAAAAAGCCAAAAGAAGAAAAAAAAATCATAATTCATCAGCATCATCATCATCATGGACATGATCATGGTCACAAGCATGAGCATGACCACAAACATGGACATGACCACAAGCATGGGCACGATCACAAGCATAATCATGGCCACAAGCATGGGCATCAGCACAAGCATGACCATCAGCACCATAACCCGAAAGGCAAATATCATTGGCATTAAAAGTTATAATTTGAAGTGTAGTAGTCTAGAAACCAGCACTTTTATGTAGTTTGCACATAACTGAATAAAAGTATCTACATCTTCTATAGTAGCTGTTTGATCATTCATAGCAACCTTTGTAAGATTAACATTTCTACAGGTTACACTGAAAAAGACAAACACGATTACGACTGGACTAAGGATCATCATGACTGGTATAAACAGGCTCAGAAGGAATCGTACAGCAGCGATGGCGATTTCAAACCCTCCCCGGAAATTGATAGCTACAACTCAATCCCAACTTTCAACCATGTGGACTCGTACAACCAACCAATCAACCAAAATTTTGATGATGATGGCTACATGGGCTCACATAAATCCTTACGAACTGAGAGCTTTCACATTACTGAAGCTAAAGACTCAGCGGCAAATGATCCCATTAATAAACACTACGTGACGGGCAGCTACAAAGTACACGAATCTGATCCAAAAGAATATATGAATCACAAAATATTCAAAGCTCCGTTAGCTAATATCAATTTACACGAAACGAGCTACCAACCGACAGGCTCAGAGAATAGTCATCAAGATTATGGTGGAATGGAAGGAGCCAGTTATGGAGGAGATGAAGGATTGGAAGATGATGACTATGGAGAAAGTATTTTAACTCAAAAGAACACAGAGCCTGAAGCCAATGGCTATGAAATTGAAGCACTGAAGCAGTATTTTCAAAACGGTTTAAAGTAGATTTTAAAGAAATAAGTATGAGAGGTAATGAGAGAATATGAGGACTGAAGCTCTTCTTGAGATTATTTTAAGATTTTTTACAGTTTTTTTTAACGATATGTTTGCTGATCATTAATAAATTTGCTTATATACCGATAAACATTTTTTTCTCGTGTAGAATTTATGACTAGAATAAGACGGAATTGTAAATGGTTATATTAGAAAAATGATAAACCATGATAAATGGAATTAAGGTAATGAAAAACACCAGATTAGTGATTGGTGATAGAAGAAAATAAAAAGGAATATTGAAAAAATGAAAATATCATGGAGTTCTTGATAGAACTTGATGTAAATGTGTTTAAAATTGAAAAACCCGACTTTTGTCTAATGATTTTGTGCAAAAGCCTCGCTATTTTGAATTAATTAAAGACGAAATTTATGTCGAAATCTAAACTATTTCGGAAATAGTTTTGGCTAATTTAATATAATAAGAAAAGTAATTCTTATGACATTCAATACTAAAGATCTTATATAAACGCTGTTAACAGTATAACTTTATAATGAAAAAGTTTACTAATTATAATTTACCCAAATGTAAGTGTTTATTTTGCGATTGATAAGGCTAAAATATTCAAAAAGCTAAATTATTTAAAGAGAAAAAGAATGAAGTAATACTTAACACAAAGATTTCCGACACGAACCGAATTCGAAAACAGCAGGCAAGGCCATCAAGAGAATATAAATAAGAGACACGCTCCAATCGATAACTTAACTCAATCTCCAATCTAGAACTTAAGGAATAAAAAAGCCAAAAATTATGCTCAAAAGCGAAGAGAAACGACAAAAAGTAAGCAAAAGCTGTACGCACAACAATTTATCACAGAAAAAGAATGTTTTACAGAAAAACTACAATACTGAAACAGTGTGAAATGTAAAAAAACTTAAAAAGAATACTAAGTGCGTCTGAGTGAATTTTGCAATTTGGTTCCCGACTAGACTGGTTCTGGCAAAGATCACTAGACCTAAATATGCGTAAATCTCCAACCAGAAGCCGTGCAAACCAGAACCGAACAGCATTGGAAAGAGAATATGTCGCTTTTAACCTGCAAGTTTTATAAAAATCCCCAAATTGCCGAATTTTTCCATTTAGTTTCCGACCAAACTTGAAAACATGCCTTGAACACTAGGAAACACCACCGAATGAAGGTGTTTTCTAAAGCGAAAAAAATAGATTGAGAGACATTGAAAGCTACTAAACGGAAGTCCTCCTCAGCAACACCTTAACCTACTACTAGACATGATTAACTCAGTTAATTTTCAGAAATTGGCACTGTGTTGCCGAAATGGCTTGTTGCGCCAACCCAACGCTGACCTTTTCGTTTTTTTTGCTCAAAATTTAAATCTTTCCAACTGCCCTAAAAACGGCAAATTTGCATAATTGAGAAGCTCCTTAGGCCGAAAGTAAAAAAACTCGCAAGTGAAATTTATGGTTTTTTGTCCAAAATTGTATTTTGGGATATTTTGGCACAGTAACTCACTGGTGCAGTTGCGTTGCAGTCACCAGTTTGTTACAGTGTTGCTCGTAAGAAATGTGGTGACCTTTTTTTACTCCGGAACTCGTAAAGCTTTTTAATTCAAAGTGTGGCACACTGAGACGCGATAAATAATAACGAAAAACTGAGAAACAAAAAATGTACTCTGAAAGTTCAGAGTTGTCCGTTCAGTAAAGAAGAATTTCACTCATAGTTGAGAAAATTTTTGCGGGATTTTAAAGAATTATTGCGGATTGAGTTTTTCAAAAACAAATTTATCAGGAATTAAAAATACTTTACAAGTTTAGGGTTGTGTGTTCAGGAAAGAAGATGCGCTTTAAATGTCGACAAAACTTGGAATTTCACTCATCGCTAAGAAAATTTTGCTTAGGATTGGAAAAAATTGTTGCAAATTTTCCAGTTATTTTGATTAAAATTACAAACTAATTGAAGTATTTCAACTGAAAGGTAAGATAAACCCATATTCAATTTCAAAATTTGTATTTGTATTGGAATAAAATCAAAAAATAATTTATAAAGACTAAAGACTTATTTTATTCCATACTTACATTTATTTCCATATAATTTAAAATTCAACAAACAATAAATTGTATTTATATAAAACGAATGTGAATTATAAACAACTTAAACTAAACTAAACGAAAAATCACAATATCACCACACCCAGGCAACGAAACTAAAACTACAAACTTTAAGGACGAACCTCAACAGGTAAAAATGTAAAAAAGTACTTTTGATGAGTGAAATTATTGGGCAAATCGGACGACGAATTACCATCCTCCGTGTCCTCCAAAACTGAACGGTTTTCCTCCATGACTGTGTCCTCCACCACCTCCGCCTCCATGATGAATTGTTTTGTAAACAGTCTCATGATGATGGTGAGTGTGATGATATTCAGGAACGATGATCTTTACATGCTCGTCATGTCTAAATAAATTTAATCAATTTTAGCATTTACATAAAGTTTTACAAAAATGGGGAAACAAAGTTATAGCCTTAAACCCAATGTATGGAATAAACAATGTAGATAGGGAATAACAAGGAACATTTGCACTTTGATAAAATTACATTAAAAAACACACTTGTTTCTACAAATTTTTGAGTTCAGGATAATTTTTAGTTGAGTTACTTGTTGAAAATGTAGACTAACAATGAACTGGAGAAAAACAATCAAAATCAAGAACGATATTCGTATTAACACTATCAGAAGAAAACGGGTAAATACCAGACGTTAATCTATTATAAAATGGAAATGAAATATTTAATTTGAAAATTTAATCAAAAAGAAGAGCAGTCAACAATACAAAGAGAACGTATTTTTTTCTGGAAAGGCAATGTAAAATGCCGTTTAAGATTGATTTAACAACGCTGCAGCAAAATGTGCTAAAAGGCAGACTCACTTTATCAAAAGTGGTTACTGATAAGTAAAAGTGGCTAAAAAATTTGAAGCAAGAATAGTTTGAAAAGGGACAGCAAAATAATTTTAAATAAGCATTGTTTCAATAGTTACTTGCAGACGCAACTACATTTTCGAAATTATGAGAATTTTGGAAATTATCAAATTAATTCTTTTTTTGATATTTTAATTCAGAACTTGCTCTAGAATTATTTCCATATTACAGAATAATTGCTAAACCATCTAAATATGAAAAAAATTTCTAGGCAAAGTAATTATAGATGCGCATCAAATCGCTTTGTAAAAAATTACATTTTAAAGCTATAAACTATGTGAATCCCAAAATGTCACAAAGCCTAATAGAAATTGGAAAGTTTATAAATGTAGAATCCAAAAGAAAAATTCAACAATAAAATTTTATAGCAGCCAGATGAATTAATAAGTTTCAGACGTAAAAAAGATAACTATTACTTACCCTTTTCCACCTCCACCTGCTGTAACTAAAGCCATGTAAACGAAGGAAAAAAGGGAGTAAAATAACTGAAACAAACACGAAAAGGTCACAAATAGTAAAAAATTGACCAAACATTCTTACCCAAGTGAAACAGTTCATTTTGAACAGAAATCAGGAAGCAATCAATGGAGGCGACTAATTCGCAAGTGTCTTCATCCAATCACAGGCGAGGACTTATATATTTGGAGAACGCGATTTTTTGGGGTAATTCGTGGTGGTAGACCGAAAATGAGCCACATATGTTCACTTGGCGATTCGATTAAGTCTTAAAATCAACGAATCCATAGCGGCAATAAGGACAGAACATAATCTAGATGTGATGTAAGTTCTACTTTCGATTGTTTCGGTAGTTTACGTAAAATACATTTGGGTAATTCTCTGATATAATAGTTCATACAGAATCACCAGTTGAAAAAAGTAAATCACCCGACGCAAATTAATATTAGAAGGACTAGAAGACAAATAAGAGAAAATTGCTGTTATCATTTTTATGTTCGAATAATTTGCAGAGGTAAGTTTGTATGTTTGTATATTTTACAGGTTTTTTGTCAACATGTGTTTGATTTTTTGATTTTTCTAGTCTAGTAAGTTCATGGATTGCGACCCTTCGTTATATAAATAATTAAGCTTAAAAAGTTCGGTTCAATTAGTTTACATAACGGATAGCCACACACCTACTTCTGAGAGATTACTGGCATTTCGCCTATTCGTTATATGCAATTTATTTATTATATAATAACTAAGCCGATTGGTCAATTCGGCAAATGGTGAATGAATTCAGGAAGAAGAAAATCTCAGTCAGTAGGTAATTGGGCTATTTCTTGCGGTGATTTGTAATTAATCGAATCGCAGGCATACTTGCGTGTAGCAAGTAGGCGCAATTTATCTGATCAGTTGTTTAAGAAAAGTTACGTGAAAAAGATGCTTTTTAATTGAATTGCAGAATAACACTAAAATGGATTATTAAATACATATAAACTTTTGATAGAGATCTAATTAATCTCAAGTTGAGTTGCATTAAAGTAACGAAACCTTTCTGTTTGAACTCCTTTCGGTTGATTGCGACCAAAGAATCTGAATTAATTACGTTTTGGTGCGTTGAAGGATTGCGGAAAATGCGTTCTAGGCGTGGACTGGTAAACCAGTTTTGAGTTTTTTGTATTTTTCTTGGATATTTGATCCAACATGGAATTTTTTTCACAAACTGTTTGTTGTTTATCCTGCGAGACACTTGGGCTTAAGCTGTAAGGAAAAATTCAAATCATTAAAGAAATTAATTTAAGTAAATTACCTTGACGTTTTGAAAGCTATTTTCTTCTGAAAATTAAAAACTAAAAACAGGATACACAGTCTAGGTGATAGTTCTTGATTACCTTTTGATAACAAATTCGTTTTTATTGCGAAATAAAGCACTGTTTATCAATCTGTAGTAAAATGCGTGAGGAAATTCTAGAAGACAAAAATTATTTGAGGCGAAATACCCAACAAACAGTTTGTGAAACCATGAATCCGCCTCACTACAAGATAGAATTTGTTATTCATTCAGGTCTTTTTGGCATCTTGTTCGATTTTAGTCCTCTATATGTGACGTAGATTATAAATATTTTGATTTTATTCCGCAGGTCTTCTAATTGGGTTTCGTAGTTGCTATTCTCAGATATACTTTTGAGTTCCTTGTTTCTTTATTTGTTCGTCTTTTTCTTAAGGTGCCTTGTTCATTTACTGAATGTTGGCGACAATTCTGGCATCCGTTTCGTCCACTTTGATACTTAAATGTATATTTGGTGTTCTGCTAACCACCATTACCTTCGTTTTGTCTGCGTTGATTTTCAAACCAATTCTTTCTCCTTCGGTAGCTATTCTATCGATAAAGCGTTGAAGCGCTTGCTGGCTATCAGCCAATATGACTTTGTCATCGGCGTAGCGAAGGTTATTAACAGCCTGCCCGTTAATTTTAATCCCATCCTCTGTATCTCACAAGGCAGTTTGAAAGATTGATTCAGAATAAAAATTGAATAAAAGGTGGGAGAAAACACAACCCTATATTACACCTTTCTCTACTTGAAAGTTCTATGTAGATTCATTTCCCACTTTCACCGATCACTGATCGATTTTTTTCAAGAATCTTCGCCTAATTTTCTTTAATTTTATTTTTAGTTTTCCCACTACAGGATTGTATCAGACCATATATCGGTCCCAGGAGAGCTTCTAACTCTTTTGTGTAACTAATTTGGTTCCTTACGAGGTGATCCTCCGAGTATTGTGGAGGCTACCAGGTGTAGAGTCTTCTTGGTGGCTTCTTGGTTTTTCTTCTTGACAGAAGTGGATCAGTATATCTCCTCTATTTTTTCGTTCTCCCAAACCAAAATCACCCACTAGGTTATCAACACTTCTACTTCTTAGAGTGCCTATCCGTTTCGTATGTTCGCTACCATGTTGGCAATTCGAACTTTGATAACAGCGGCCCGAAATAGCTGAGTGGTTGATTGGTTTAAATTTTGTAACCACGATATTCTCCGTCTGCCCACTCCTCTAGCTCCATATACCTTGCCTTGGAGGATCTTCTGCAGTAGGACAAATCTGCTCTTATTGAGCATCCCAGATATTGTAGCTTTCAAGTCTTAACTGTATTCAGGACTTTTTTCCTTTCCCATCCTTCTCAGCACCTCCGCATTTGGATACCCTCTAAATCCAGTAGAGATTTCTGGATTTCTGATGATTTTCAGGTCGTTCCCATCGAGGCCAGCTTTTTGCAGAACTTTTTCGTGTTTCGCACTTATTCAAACTCCTTCCTATAATCCGCGAAACATGCGTATACATCGCAGTTTACATTCCTGCATTGCTAAAACAGCACCTGGATCGAAAATAGTGCCTGTCTAATCCCTACAGCCCTTAAGCCGAATTGGTTCTCATACATCTGTTCCTCATACAGTTTAAATATTCTACTGTAAATTATCTTCAGGGATATCTTCAGTAGATGGCTCGTGCAAGCTTACTGTACGAAATTCATTACATTTAGTAGCATTAGGCTTTTTGGGGAGGGTAACAATTTCAGATTTCAGCCATTCCGCCCGTATCATAGATCACATTGGTACAAAAAATGATAGAGTATTCTGAAGGGTGCCCAGCCTTCTTATGGTCAAACAATTAGCCCCCTGAGAAAGGTGAGAATAAATTGCCGAAAGCTTAGTAGCTAAAAAAGTTTTTACTTTTCTTCTCCACTGCCCAGACCGACTTCCCAAGAAAATCAACCATTTTGCAATTATTTGATTATCGGTCATGAAACTGAACAACGAAAATGACGATAGCTCTGAAGCAATGAGGATCAGAGTGGTAAAAGCTAGAGCCACATTTACTAAAATAAAAAATGTGTTCTGCGGAGGAAATCTAAGCCTGAAGCTTAAAATTCGCCTTGTGAGATGTTGCGTGCTGCCGGTCCTTTTCTATGGAATGGAAGCGTGGACATTGAAAAATATCGATACCAAGACGATAAAATCATTTTAAATCTGGATGTACCGTAGAACACTGAAAATATCGTGGACAGAGAGACTGACTAGCGTGGAGATTTTGTGAAGAATGTAGAAAGAAAAATAATTGACGCTTACTATTAAGAAGCATAACACGTGTAATACTGGGAACATGTTATGAGGGGAGATAAATACCAGTTACTGTAACTTTTTATCCAGGGAAAAATAATGGGCAAAAGATACATAGTAAGAAGAAACAATTCATAGCTAAAGAACTGAAAAGAATGGTACAATTGGAAAAACTGCCAACTGTTTAGATCTGCAGATCGCCAAACTTCGGAACGAGGACGGCACCTAAAGAATAACAAGAATCGTAAATTGATTCATATCAATACGTTCAAAAATTAAACATATAATTTATTTTATTTTTTTACGTAAACTTGCAGTTTTTAAGCAAATAGAAGATTTTTCAACTTCTGCTCACGAACCACAGACTCAACGCTGACTCTCCCATAATAACTGCAGACGGAAAAATAACACAACCGAAAAACGACGTAAGGTTCCTTGGGATTACAACCGACCACAAATTGAAATTAACTAAACACACACGAAACATCAGAACAGAAATGATAAAAAGAACAAAACACTTTCGATCACTAACATACAAGGACAAAGGAATTTACCTTTGTATAAGGACAAATACCGCGACAAAAATATACAAAGCGATCTGCAGACCCCTCTTGGACTACGGAGATATACTCATGGACAACGGAACAGAAAAGGCAAAACGATACATACGAACAACAGAACAAATTGAACTAAGACTAATAACACGAATAAGACCCCCCCAAAACCCACTGCACCACCCTTCCAACCAACTACTATACGAACGCACAAACATGACAAAAAGACTAATACACTTACAGACAAAATGGACAAACAACCCCCACAACTGGCCCATACTGGATCCCCTTTGTCTCACAAGACCGACAAAACACTCCCGTTTTCGTTTCCTAGCAGATACTTTACTAGAACACCTACAAACGCAACTGAACTAAGGACTAAGATCTGTTTGTTTTGTAAACCAAGAATTTTATTTTTGTTTTTTTCATAGCTGATTAATTTATACGAGTATTAGGAATAGGAATTAATTTTAGAATAAGCTAGGCTAAGACACATATATACCAAACAAGGGCAGAAAGACCGATTGGGTCGATAGCCTTTTTCTGTAGGAAATAAAGATTATTTATAAACATATAGAAGATTTTCTTAAGAAGTCAGCAAAAGGATTTGTTGGAAAAAAGGAGTATTTGAAAAAGTACCTAATTAAGGATATAACAATTTCTGCCCTTTTCAATTTAATGCTAAACTCACTTGTATTTTGATGAAAACGCTTTTTAACAGTTTTTTATAAATTCCCTGACAATTAACTTCCTAATCAGAAAACCATAAAAGCTAACAACATAAACCATGCTCCTAGGGCGTTATAAATGACCCCATATTATACTAAACCAGTCGTTTCCACTAATTACCTTTTTGGGCCTTGTTAAAAGTAAATTATATTTCAATTTTATCTCGGCGCATTTCCTATGCATGAATCGGACGAAAAAACAGCCTTTGTTTTACTAAACGCGGTAAGTGTTAACGTTAATTCACTCACAGGGACGGGTTTGTTTTATTTGGAAATCATTCAAGTATCTTTAATGAAAATGTGCATTATATTAAGCTTTCAAGCTCCTTAATCTGTGTTGTTTTTTTTAAATTTAAGCTTTAGATTGGTTTCTATGTCCTCATAGTTTAGGGACAATAATCCTTATATATAATCACATAGGGACAATAAGTATGCGATTAAAGTGAATAATTCATTAACTATTTACAATTCTGCAAATCTAAAAATGTGCGTTGGTAAGGTACTTTTTTGCATTGCATTACACCCTACTACTTAAATAATCTAAAAAATAATAAATTTCCAATCGTCCCAGAGGTAAAACCCATTTCAAGTTGATGAAGTGCAATGCTCACATCTCAATCAACTCCCACAATTTTTTAGCTTAATTTGACACTTGAGGTCTTGTTCGATGGGCGAGGCGTCAAAATGTTAATGGACTTAAGTACAACTGTTACAAAACTTAATTTACACTGGAAGATTGATGGACTTGAATGGAATTAGTAATACGAGCGCCCTTGCCTTTTATCAAATTGTTCGAGGGTTTTTTCTCTTGCACATGTACATCTTCATTTTTTTCGCTTGATGACTATTTTATGTTAATCTGTTAATGAAATAAAATCTAATGCAGCGTTTTTTGAGCGGCCTGCTCGAGGGTAATTAATGAAACGCCGACATAGAGCAGGACGGGAATCAGGCTTTTATATAGCGGTTTATGTAACCACGTAAGTTTAAGTGTTTGAACTTACCAAGGGGTTAGGTTTTATGATTGGGAGAACCTGATGGACTAAGCGAAGTGCTGGAACAGACCAAACAGAAACCGTGATGAATAAGCTCGAAGCGTTCGACGCGTGGATGTACCGGAGAATTATGCACATCTCATAAATTTAGCATACAACTAACGAAGAATTACTTAGAAGAATGGGAAAAACGGAAGTGGTAGAATTCACATGAAACACGAAAGTGGCAAACATTACACTGATATAATTTTTTAGCAAAAAAAGTCTCCATAATAATTTTAAAGCAAATTTAAATTCAAATCAGATATTTTCGGCCAAAAACGCCGAATCCGTATCGTCGGTTGCCTATCCCGATTGTGACGTAGCAGGTCATATCAACAAAGTGTCTCGTGTTYATTTTGTTGCTTTCGCAGCTTTGTTTTATTATTTAAGCTATTGTGATTATCATTATTTTATTGATTATTGTTATTATCTTGCATAATGGAAAATAGTGACATTTATGGATCACAAAATAAGTGGTGTTTTGTGCCAGGATGCAAGAATACGTCAATAAGTGCTCCAAACAAACTCTTTTTAACCGTTCCCCATGATTATGCACGTAAAGTTTTATGGTTCAAAGCAGCTAGACGTGATGTTCCGAAATCAAAATCAATGTTTTTTTGTTGCGAGGATGCACTATCACCATATGGTTCTCGTGATACCCAAAATGCAAATTTAAGAGTTCATTTTACTTTTAAATTGGTTACCTAATTTAAACCAATACAGACAGATTAGTATATTAAGGAGAGAATAACTAATAATGAATTTACGGATTTTTACTTACGCTGCTACTTTAACACCCTTTGTGACTGAATTAAAACATTCGTCGTTTTTTAAAAATTAGGTAACCATAAAAATATGTACACATGGTAAATTGTTTATTGACGCTTTAAGGAATCTTTCTGAAGCCATTTCTTAGTTTAACACAAGCTATAAATTATTTAAAGCCACAAAATAATTAATGAAACACAACCACACAACTAAAGGCTATGTACAGAACGTAAACAATCCGCCATTTATATGACCAGAGACGTCACAACCAATAGGATTGCGTTTTAGAGATTCATGAATAATTTGAATTTTAGCTGAATTTGTTTATTAAATATTTAACAAAATAGCAATATATAGATAGTATACTTGTTTAATCTTTCATATATATATTATAGATTAATGTTCAGTTTGTAGGAATTTCGGATACAATAAAAACACCCTATTACTTAGACAGGCAGCTGATAGAACTAGAATTTTCATGTTAAGCGCCAACGTTCGCAGAAAATAATGCATCAAAAGAGGAAAAAGCACGAAGTTAAATAGATATTCTCAATTTAAGGCTGTTAGAAAGTGGAAGTGTAGGAAAATAGTCTGTTACAGTAGCTGTAAATTCCTCAGAGAAGAAAAAATTTCAAAATTTTTAAGAAAAAACATCTTTTTCGGACTTTCAGTTTACAAAGTAACAGACACAAAGTAAGAAAATTGTCTTTTACGAAAATGTTATGCATGAAAGAGAAATGTTTCTATGCACCATGAAACAAAAAACCGGAATCTCAATAAAACAGATTTGAAGTTATTAACAATAATTTTTCAATTTCTCAAAGTCTATATAAAAATTAAACAATTTTAAGCACAAAAACAGTGAATTTGACTGGTTTCAAACCACCATAAACCAAAAGACAGACAATTGGATAAATCAAAATAGCAAAGGAGGCARMTTTTAAGCTTTCGATATCAAATAAATTCCTGTTAACTCWAATTTTTGTAACTCGACKCTACATTTCAGTTAGCTTCTTTTGGWAGGAATGGGAATCAGGAAGAAATTTTCTTCAACKTTCAATGTTCTGAACTTAGTGGATTCTTTGCTAATTAAAAAGATCCTCAATGCAAATACACGATGTGTTAAAGCGTCGATTCATAATTGAAACTGTTTAAACACCGCTAAAAATCGTCCATAATTTTCAATAAACCACGAAAACTTTGGGAAGAAGTCTAACTATCTAACTCGAAGTCAAAGACAAGTTCCTGATTAATTGATGAAAATGGATGTTAATATATTCCGTTATCGCCGTTTCTAAGATCTAAGAAAATTCTCCAACACTTAAAAAAAAATCTCATATGTATTATGCAGACTCATAGTGACTCCAAACCTGAACACAAAACTATGAAAATCGCCTTTTTAAGGATGGCAACAATTTTAAGCATAAAAGAGGAGTTTTTATCCAGCATGAAGCAAAAAAATAAGAAAGGCAGTAAAAGAGATTTCAAGTTGTTAGTAGCAGTTTATCAATTTCCCAAAGAATTTATATAACATATAGAAATGTTTTTTGGGTTTTGAAGCAGTGGTCCATGGGAATTTCTTCCCGACGTTTCGTCCACCACTGCGGTGGACATTATCAATCGCGATCAGGCAGTGGGCGAAGTGATCTCCCGTGCTTACCAACTAAGACTGGTTCAACTACTGGATCCCCTGTCTCACACGACCGGGCTGCATAAATACGACAGGGGATCCAGTAGTTGAACCGTCTTAGTCGGTGAGCACGGGAGATCACTTCGCCCACTGCCTGATCGCCTTTGATAATGTCCAAAATTTGTATATGTGATTTGACCGGCCGTGAAAGCCTTCATAATTTATAAAACGGCAGCAATTTTAAGCCTAAAAAGGTAAATTTCACTCGTTTCAACTGACTATGAAACAAACGGCAGAAAATGTAATATATCAAATCCGTCAAGAACACAGTTAAAAGCCCCAATTTTTGTTAACATATATTATGGTTTTTTAAATTAATTGATCAATTTCTCGAAGTTTTCGAATAAATTTTCGAAAACCGTCGGCTATAATTCAAAGATTCATTCAGGTTTCGCTGCAATTAATCAAGCCCTAAATCCAAAACACAGTATCTAATTGGTTGGTAGAAAAACGCATTGCAACCCACCAAATTAATATTAAGTGGTTGCCGCCGTAAGCCCCCAAAACATTTCCTCATCTGATGATCTACGACCGAAAATCATTTACATATTTGTGGGCATTTCATTGTTGAGATCAAATAAATCCGAGCTGCTTACAAGATACAACAAGTTTTTCGAGAAAATATCGTCATGTTAGGAATGGTTTAAAGCGACCTCTGCCACCGTAACGTGTTGTCATCAAGATATATGTTTCTAAACGTTTTAAATACCGTTTTAGGTTTTATATGTTTTCCGAGTAAAACTGAGAAGTGTTTACCATTTTCCTCTCTTGGTTAATCAAGGCTTGATTATGTTTATGAGGTCGCACCGCTATACAAACGGTGGGATACTTTTCCGGATGCATAAATTATGATTTATGACTTAAAAACCATATGGTTACATCCATTCTTAGTTCAGGAAAAATTATTCGAAATATGCCACAAGCAACTAAATATATCTAAGTGTCTACGCTTCTTCAGACAAAAGATAGCTGAAAACTTGAAAACTTGAGCATTTTCAGAAGCAACAAAAGGATTAACAATAAAAGAAAAAATCGAGCCTAATCGTACCGACAGAAAGTGCATTCAAATAGCATCTATTTAATACAAAAGAATAGAATGAAGCAAATTGCCAGTATAGAGTTAACCAGTGATTTTTAATAATATTATAGGAAATCACTTGAGTTAACTAAAAATCAAAGAAACAAAAATATGATCAATTATAGCTACAATCACTAATGATCCCATCGGTCATTAGTATATTCGCATTTTGTTGCATTTTTATTTATATCAATTCCAGTTTTCAATTGTCTTTCTGGTACAATTTCAATGGTTTTTCGGTACATTTTCTTCAACTGACACTCTTGTTTCGCATCGATTTAGACCAAACCCAGTTGGAGTATCTATGATGCAATTTTTCATTATTCATTAAAAATATATTACAGAATTTAACACAAAAACTAGCAATAGCAAAGCGAAGAAACAAATCAAAGCTAAATTCTGCAAACTTTGCAGATTACATTTTGTATGGCTGCCTTTATAATGATTTTGACAAAACGTGTTGTTTTTATTAACACTCGCAATGTGAATGGATGGCGGTTAATCTAAAAGGCGTTCAAAATTCAAAAATGCCAGATACAAATTGTAAATCCCGCTTTTCGAATAAATGCTCGAAACAACAGAACTGGAAGAAATTGAAATATATGCAACAACTTACAAAAGTTCCTCTACTTACTGATTTATACGTTATTCTATTTCTAGAAACTTTAATGTTTATTGTATGTAATCGTATTGCAATAAAAACAAACACAAAACTGTTAATAGTACAGAATAAATTGACAAAACAGCTGTACATTTATTTTTTGAGTCAGTAATGTTCAATATGATTGTATCAGTAAAGGCAGCTTCGGTTCGAACCATTCAAGAGTTGGCTGACGTATGTGACGAAGAGCCTCTAACGATCTTCCCATGCATGGAAGGGTTTAGGCCCATATAAGCTTATAAAATCTTGGCGGCGCCATTCGGTCACATTCTTCTGGTTATCTTCGAAAGACTGTTACAGGTGTTAAGTTGGAATCGATTTTTCAGTTTTTCCTCTAATTTTTCTCCGATTCGTTTTGGTTGCGAGTTTGAACGCGATTTTCAGCGTCATTATGGTTACGGTCAGTCACGTTTTGGTAAGTTTTATTGTTCTGGTTTTTTTTTGTTTTATCCACCAAAAACTCGATTTTCTTTCCAGTGACCATGTGAATTAATCGAATTTTCGGCTCGGTGTTCTTTCCCAAAAATATTTTTCACCTATTTTTATTATTATTTTAAATTATTTTCTTCCTTAGGGAAAAAGGAAAATAATAAATTTCGCTTGTCCAAATGGTGACCAAAGATGTCATCAACCAATTGACAAAATTTTCGAATTAATACGATTATTATGTTTTATTTAGATTTTTTATTAGATTTTATTAGATTTTTTTACTGCTGAGAATTTTTACTTAAATTCTAAAACTATTTTATTTTGTCAGCTAAAAAAAAGCGTTCTGAATTTTGTTTGCCAAATCTAAAAATGTTCGTATTTTATATGTGAGAAACATTACAAAAAACAAACAAAATTATATTTATTAGTTTTTTGCTGTTAATTTTAACAGGTGTTGCAGAATTATTAAATAATTATTAGACAGGAATATAATTAATTCCAAAAAATATAAGTACATATAATCCAAATGGGATCAATAAATACTAAAAAGGTATAAGGAATAGGAAAACTTCAAGGTTTAAACGCGCTTACACCTTGAAGAAAAGACGTATTTTTCTAATCTAATTCACATGGGAAATATAAATGCAAACGCCAAGATAAAAAAATTTAAATGAAAATTTCTATTGGTTTTGCGAAAAGTGTTTTAAAATGTAAAAAGATAGAATTAGAGAACAAAAAATAACATGTTTTTGCTAGTGTTGCCATCAAATAAAAATTTTATATTTTCAAGACATATTTATTAAAAATTATTAATGAAATTTATCTAAAGCTTATCTCAGTTAAGACTTAAATGACTTGAAAACCCCAGTTCGTCTGCGCTCTGATAAATAATTGCCTAACTACCAGTCCAAATGGGAGCCAGTTTCTTAAAAAATGCACCTCGAGTATTTTTTTTGTACCATTGTGAAGAGCAGTTCTAACTATACCGTAGCCCTATCGCTTTATATATTGACACGAGCATGTAAATATGGGCTGTTTGCTTGACGGGTTCATAAATCTTCCATTGTATGTTTATTAATATTTAGTACTTGAGCTTAATGTGCGCTTAAAAGCTATCCAGACTGTGCATTTAAGGACTTTAAAATATTACACACATATTAATCATTTCGGGAGATTAATTTATCGAGCAGGTGTACTCTTTTATGAGAGTATTTATACTTTTCTATGAGATTAGCGAAATAATTTGTCCAAATCAAGTGAGTTTTTGCATTAAGAATTTATTTCTGCTGCAGAAAAAACCCATCGCTGAAAAATACAACATAGTTTAAATTTATTTACAAACTTCTTGTTGGGTATTTCGCCTCAAAAATTTAAATAATAAAAGACGTGAGGAAATTCTGTTTGTCTGTGAAAAAAATTTTGAGGCGAAACACCCAACAAGAAGTTTGTAAAAAAAATGAATCCGCCTCAACAATATAGAACTTATCTACAGTTTTAAATTAGGTGCGAAATGACAAAACAAGAAAAAATCAAACAATTTGATACAATGCTAATAATATTCAAGAAAAATACAAAATACATAAAGCAGTAAAAAAACATTTATAATACAAAATAATAAATAACTAATATGTAAAGTGTAGAAGCGAGAACCGTGTAACAATTAAGAATCACTTACACACACAAAATAAATTGGAAACTCCAATAGGAGAACTTATTTCGAAACAATTTTTCCACAAAGTAAATATTCTTTGACAAACATACAAATTTTAAATTGAAGAAAAATATAACGGACCGAGATACATGAAACAGTAAATAAAACGTCTATAAGACAAACAAAATATTAACCAGTACTTAAAATTCAGAACCGAAAACAACCCCACAATGAATGGTTTAAAGAATTAATTTGTTATGTTTATTTAGCATAGTTAACTAACTATACGTATGTTTTTATGATTAATTTGTACCAAAAAAGTTATTATCGAGATTCTCGATTTATTCGAAATTTTCCAATAGTTCTTCTGAAAATTTTGGTAGCAACATTAACGAGAATATTAACTACTTCTAAAGTTTCCAATAATTACATCAGAAGTTTTAACCACTTCTAAATTTTCCAATAGTTATTTCGAAATTTTTAAACACTTTTTTAGTAATCAAATCAGGATTCTTAACTGCTTCTAACATTTTCCAATAGTCAAATCGTAATTCCTAATTAGTTCTAAAATTTTTCAATTTCCAAATTGTGATTTTTAATCACTTCTAAATTTTCGGATAGTTAATTCCAGATTCTTAATTGCTTCTCAATTTTCCAATGGTAAATTCAATATTTCTAATTGCTTCTAACTTTTTTAGTAGTTAAATCAGGATTTTTAACCACTTCTAAAATTTTTTGGCCTAAAATAGCCAGTTAAGGATTTTAATCGTGTCTAAAATTTTCCAATGGTTAAATCGTGATTTTTAACCACTTCTAATGTTTTTCTACAGTTAAATCGAGATTCTTAACTGCTTCTAAAATTTTCCAATAATTAAATCCGGTTTCTTAACTATTTCTAAAATTTTACAATAGTGAAATGGAAATTTTTAAATGCTTCTAAAATTTTCTTTAATTTATATAATTAAAACTTCTCAATTTGAATTGAAGTTATTGAATCGAGATTTATAACAGTTTCAAATTTTTTCAATGGTTAAATCGAGATTCTTAATTGCTTCTAAAAGTTTCCAATAGACAAACGGAGATTTTTAATTGCTTCTAAATTTTCAGTAGTTACATCAAGATTGCTTCTAAAATGTTTCGATAGCTAGTTCAGGAGTTTCAACTACTTCTAAATTTTTTTAGTACTCAATTCGAGTTTCTCAATTACTTCTAAAATTTTCCAATGGTTAAATCGGGATCGTTAAACACTTTTTAGCAGTCAAAGAGAGATTCTCAAAGATGTTTTCTTTACTGTTTTATCTCCTTTGCCTTTCTTTAAAACATCTTCAGAATTTTCACTCATTCTATTTTATGGTTTCGATTTTTTCTAATTTACAGTCAGTATTTTCTTTAATTTTAAATGTCTCTGCAAGAGAAGCGTGGGATTTACTTTGCAGCTAAAATTGACTCGAAATAAGTTCGACCGCTAAATTTTCTAGTTTCTTTATTTCAAAATTTTGCCCGTGTTTTATTGTTTTGTTCTGTTTTTTGTGGGCGTTCCTTAAAAACATTTGTTGCAAGGCTATTCTCGCTTCCGCACTTCACACATTGTTTAGTAGTTCTTTTCATAATTTATAGCCTGCCTTTTCTGCAGTTTGAACTTTTTATGTTTGTGGAATACGAATATTTACTTTGTGGATTTGTGTGAACTTTCTATGTTTGTTTTTAAATAAGTTCCTTCGTTCGTTTTGTTTGTAAATTCAAAATTTTTTCTGATTTGTTTCGATGAAGCGAATTCAATTTTAGAAGTGATTAAAAATCTCGATTTAACTATTGGAAAATTCAGAAGTTGTCAAAAATATCAATTTAATAGCTTAATTTTTTTTTAAAAGAGGTTAAAATTCTAGATTTGGCTATAAAAAAATTTCAGAAGTAGTTAAAAATTCCGATTTAACGATTAAAAAACTTGACAAGCAGTTAAAAATTTCAGATTAACTACTAAAAATATTAAGTAATTAAAAATGCTGAATTAATAACTAAAAGTTTAGAAGCACGTAAAAATCTCGATTTGACTATTAAAAAAAATGAAAAAATCATATATACCATGTAGAAATAAGATCAGCGTGACAATAATTAGCGTAAAGGATCAATGAAGCAAATTTAAAAATTTATAAAAAATAAACATGGAAATGCAAACGGAAAAAATACATTTAAAACAATGATCCAGCAAAGTAAATAATCATGTTCCACTAACGTAGAGATTTAAAACTGAAGATGAAACAAACCCTTCGCTGAAAGAACTTTAAGAACCAATCATTTAAAATCAAAATAACGACAGACAATGCCGAAGAAATTAGAGTAAAGAGGAGAGTAAAAAACAAATTTAACACAAAAAACACTAAATGATAAACAATATGTAAACCCCAGAAGCGAAAATGATAAAAATTAAAACTGGAAGAATTTATCGGAAGAGTTTCATTTGAAACCATTTTTCCACAAGCTAAATATCCATGTTCCACTAGTGTAGAAAGTTAAAACTGAAAAAAAGTTACTGAGGACTGTAAATTAATATAGGAATATCCAACTTATAAATCAAAATAAGGAGAGTGCATAACACAAAACAGAAAACATATTTAATAGAAAAAAGTTAATACTAAAACCAAAGACAGAAAAGCAGCAAACATTGCAAATTCGTAGACAAAACTATAAAAACAAATGGAATGTAGTATTTCGACAGTAATTCGAATGTAATTTTTCCACAATGCAAATATCCATGTTCCACTAACCCGGAAATTTAAAACTGAAGAAAAAATAGACTGTAAATTAGGAAATATTAAATACTAAATCAAAATTCGTTAAAAATAAAATGCTGGGTAAATGAAAAATACAGGCACATAAAACAATAAAGAAAACGTCTCGAGCACATAAAAGAAAGGCTAAACAATATGTAAAGTGCAAAAGCCAGAACAGCCTGACAATCAATGATTTAAAGAACACAGTGAAAGCAGCAGATTTTTTTCTTAAATAAAAACTGAAAAAGCAGACCGGTGAACTTACTTCAAATCAATTTTCCCACAAAGTAAATAATCATGGTAAAATAACATGGAAATTTAAAAATCAAGTAAAAACAGACTGGAAATTAGGAGAATCACTAATAATTAAAATAATGAAACAGTAAAACAATATATGCAAAAAACCTCTTTAAATCTAATCTAATCTATAAAATGCACATCAGTTTCAAAACACATTTAACGTACATTTAAACAAATAAGTTCAAAAACATTTTGTCTGAAATTTAAATTTAGTGTAACTTTTTCCCATGTTGGGCTGTGTAGTTTTCTAAGAGTTCTCCTGCTTCAACCGGTCACATTCTTCACCTTATCTAAAATAGTGATACAGGTGTTGGTCTGGTATTTAATTTCTTTTACTCACGCATCCATTAACATGTTAATAAGCCGATGCGTTCAGATTTTATCGTTGCCGCGGAAGATTTAATTTCCTATATGGGTGGAAGAGCAACCAGAAAGGCTGGTACTGAAGACATTGAGTGTCCGATGCTAGCTGGTCGGTAAATTCAGTTGAAAACTTATAGAAAATATCAGTTATCTTTGAAATACTGTACCTATTTCAATAATTGATTAGATTTGTAAGCGGCTCTTAAAATAAGTTTGTGTTTAAAGTACGGAAAAGACACTTGGAAAAGGGTTGAAGAAAAATAGAAAAATATTCTATTTTCTCTAATCTAAGTGTTATTTTGCAATAAAACGACAAATATACTAACTGGTAATAAATTCTGTTTTCAAAATATATTTTTGTTGCAGTTGAAATTTGCAAGTCTGCTAGTGATGTTGTCCAGCTCTTCGGCGTTCTGGTTTACAGCTGAAGAACCAAAACCCACGTAAGTACACTTTCATGTTATAATTGTTTTATTCAAAACCCGCAACGTTTAGTGTTATGCCTACATATGTAGGCTTAAAATACATTTCTTCATATTAAAGAAATATTATATGGCGTTAAGACAGACTCCCATTAAATAATCTTAAAAGTAGTATAAATTTTCCGGTACAAACTGTCTGCAATTGAATATAGAGTAACTCAAGCCTGGAAGAATAATGTTTCTAATAGTTGCAAATAAAACACTCTGTATTTTATGGTTTAATTAGATAAAATGGGTTTTGTTGAAATACGAAATGCAAATTATCGTTATAGTTGAATTTCTACTAGAAAATAATCAATTTTGGAAAATGTGCTTGTTAGTAGACATACTGCCGTTTTAATAGAAATAAAAGATCTTTTATATTCGAAATTCTTAATTAAATGCTTTCAAATAAATTTCATTTATACAAAATGTTAAATAAATCCGACACAAAGGTGAATTTGGTTCTTTTTCTTTCACTCACTTCTTCTGTATTGTTTTAAAACATACCTTAACGATACTGATACGATAATGGTTTTTCAGATCACCAGTTTTTACGAGAATCATGAGCATTTTAATAGATTATAAACATTTGTAAAAAATAAATTTGTAAATAACTGTAAATTTAGTTTCTTTCCAACATTTCCTAATCTGTCAGGGCACTTTTTTCATACGACATTTACTTGCATTTTTAACGTTTATCAAATTCAATTGTAATATTTTCAAAAGGTCAAATTTTAAATTTTGCAAACAACTTCAATTGTGCAACTATTTCTATTTCTTAGTTAGTTAGATTTGCAATTGCCATGTTTGATAATAGCAGGATGCACTCAAAAGAAGCATAAACTGGGCTTTTGGAACATAAAATGTGATGTTAACTTTGGTAAAACCTGCCAAAAAAGCGCAGTTTTTACGAAAATCTATTTAAAAAAATCCCCCTCCGTATTCAGTTGTAAAAAGTTTCGGGTAGCGGCATCTGTATACATTTGGAGACATTTTTCTTTGCTACAAGCATGGTACACTCTGTATATAGTTTGTTAATTCCCAAAAGGCCCGATGAAGCGATGATTGAAACAATAAAAAAATTAACTAGATTCTCCAGGCTCGAGACCACCTTTCGATAAAATTTTCTATTTATATTAGTTTATTATCGATGCATGTGGTCAAGGGGTTTTTAATTAATTACAGAAATGTCCGGATATCGCTTTATCATGCCGCAGCTTCTGAAGTAGGCTCAAGTTTATTTAGGCTTGACAGGATGCATATTGAAAGTCATTGAATCTTTTTAATAACCAACCAAAAACAAATGTTTAACTTTCTAAAGCTGTTACGAAGTTGAGGTATTTTTTCCATGCGGGTCAAAGGAATTAGTCAGCGATTTTTCAAGTGGAACTTTTGACCATTGACCATTTTTTCTACGCAAAGAAGTAAAATTGAAATATGTCTGCAGAAGTTCCAGAGTTCTCTACTCACAGGACTACTACAGACAGTACGTTCCTCCTCCTCTGCCCTACACAATACCGCTACAAGTGCCGCTTCCTGCTCAACTCTCACCAGCTGCGGTCCAGAATGTTCAACTAGTCCCCTGTTTATGCCCAGTGAATCAGGAGTACTCGTACGAGAACTCGCCCGAGTACGCTACCAGAAAGCTTCAACCTCCAGCTCAGCAGAGGCGGAAGTAAATGTAGGCTGCTGCCGTCTCATTTTGTACAAATTTATTCAAAAAAGTTGAGTTAAATTTAATTACCTATTAGTGCCGAAGCCCAACTAGCTTAATCTTGCCCAGTATAAGCTTTGAAGAGTTTAGAAGAATTATTTATAATAAATGCTTGTTTGTTCATCATGAGCCGAATTCTCGGTTCAACCGGCATTAAAGAGTTGGGAGTTTTCTAAACCACCTCAATCTGCAAGAAATTTTGTCGATCTGTTTAGTGGCGGATATAAACGACGTGCGCGTTTGCTCCAACATTTCCAAAAATCCCGGGAATTTTCAGCTTCCATTGGAATTTTGCTTCACTGTTTTGTAGAACTTTCCTGATCGTAAGTTAAATTTTAATAACAAAAATTCGATTTTTTAAGTTGGCTAGCAAAATTATGAGAAAAACGAACTTTTAGTCCTAAACACCGTGCTATAAATCCTTATACTTTTAAGCATTTTTTTCTTATAACGGCTTTAAGATTACGCCTCTTAAATATATTGAAACGGTATTGTTCAAGACAGTTCTTCAAGGAGTAAACAGCTAATCGTACGTTCAATGTATAATAGAATAATTGTACTCAGAACGCAGTTTTTAATTATTTCATAGGTTACTACGGGTATTAAGAAGTATTTTGTAATGGAAAAGTTTTGTATTAAGTAAAGTACAAAATATTCTTAAGTTGGACTGTAATTTCTAATGGTGCTTAATTGTTTAATTAAATTTTAATATAATTGATTAGAATTAAGCATATTTATTTATTGATAATAAAGACTGAGAGTTAAACTGGACGAAAACGGTTTGTAATTTAATAGTCTTTTAAAAAAAATTAGGTTCAACAAACCTACATGCAAAATTCTACGTACGGGAAGGGGATTCTTTGGTAATTTTACCTGCACCTTCCTGCTTAATTCTTTTCTCAACCAGTGAGTTTTCAGTTCCACCAAGTTCAAATTTGGTGTATGCGGACAGCTATAGAAATTTCTGAATTGAGAACTTGAGATGCAGGATCAGAATGAACAAACGGACTGAAAACTGTTTAAACAGCAAAAACAGCTTCCTGTTTTGAAAGTTACAAAAAATATATATCGAGTGAAAAACGCCCAAGAAAATAACACCACATCCAAGGCAAATAAAGCTCATTTTCAATGCGCCAGTTATTTTTCTATTATTTCAATTAAAAAGACTCGTATCACAAATTAACGTACAGTTTAACACTTAAGGTACAAGGGAAAAACAGTACTTGAAATTTGCCGTTATTTCTGTTTTTTTATTATTTGCTGCCAGCCTTTTTCCTAATGTATTTATGATGTGTAGTAATAGTGTTAATTTGTTCATTGCCTACATTCCTACTCATTCCATTCTTCAGCGCCTACATTCCTACTTTTTGTGTCTTGGGTTGTAGTAGGTAGGGTTGGGTGACACTGTATTGCGCTTCGCTTTTCACTTGATGCCGCTCTGTGAGTTATAACTCATGGCGCCTCACTCACGGAATAATTCTTGAAATCAGAACTTTTAAAGGACATTTTTAATTAGTTGAAATTTCGTTGGTTTCTATCATCGCTCAGAAGTTGAGCAACAGTTTCATTTTTAAGTAATTTCTCCGCGACTTTTTTGTTTAGTCAATATTTTTACAAAAACAAAATTAATTCGGTTATTAATTTTAGTTTTGGCGTTATTCATTAATCACTGAAACCGAGTGAAATTAATACAAATATAAAGAACTCTAAATTTAATATAAAATAAGTGAAAGATCGACGCTTGGAGAGTTTTTCGTTTAGTTGTTGTTGACTTTCAGTAAGTTGAAGCGTGAACTTTCCCTTTGGAAATATTTCTATACAAACAGGCTCTTTCTACAAAAATGTCAACAATAAACAAACTGAAATCGAACTGCCAAGCAAGAGCAGAGCAATGAATCATTGAAAGGGCGAACATGTAAATGATTAAATAATCCTGTTTACTCTGTACTTAGGTATAGTTTTTTTTCGAAAAGGTATATGTTTAGTTTGCTACCGACACTGGACAAAATCTGACTGTAATTCCTTTTGCCGTATGAATCGCATTCTTAGATGGGAATTATTGTGACCCTTATGGCAAGTACGGTCGTTTATAAAAGTGTAGTGGCCTTTTTGAGGTTTTATGGGTAGAAAATGGAGGATGGAGCGCCAGCTTGGTAAGAATGATCTCTAATCTACAAATCTTTTACCTTCAACTGAGTTTAGTTTTCCGACAAATACCTGAAGTTTTAGAGATTTTCTATATGTCTCTCTTTGCTTTGTTAATTTCAAATATGTTTGGCTTTGAACAGATTTCCTGCTGACTAAACACATTTTCTTCTTTCTTTTCAGGTTGCACTACACAGCTTCCGGTAAGTTTGAGAACTTTTAGTCCCATTCATCAACTGTTTCGTTGGGTGGATTTTGGTCGGGTTGGTGGATTGATTGAGCTAGTGCTTCTTTCGTAGTTAATTCTTAAATTTTGGAAATATTTTGGGCGGCTTTGCATTTTTTTATTAAACTTATCTGAAGCTTTTCGCTAAAGATTTGGTTCCGATTAAACTATTACTTCCTTCACAAGAAATTTTTAAAGTTTGGGAATATTTTGGGCGGCTTGGTATTTTTACAAGCTCATCTGAAGCTTGTCTCCAAAGAACCGTCTCAGATATGCAAATGTGGGTTCCAGTTTTATGTTCTTTGTTAAAAAAAAACGAGGAAGGGCTACATTCCTACGACGTAGATGCAAATGGAGCAGGAGTTAATTAACTGAATACGAGAAGCTGCTTAATAAGAGTGGATAATAAGGAGATTACACAGGCACTAGCTTGTTTGCAGTTCAAATGTTTGGTGTTGTATGGTTGATTTATAAACACCAATATTCGAGGTTATGAGAACAGGTTGACATTTCGAAATAGGTTCCGTCATTCAACGGCTTCTGTTGAATTTACCGTTTATCCTTGTCTATCTTATTGTCAATCTGTATAATTCCATGGTTACCGGAGTTTTAAATAATTACGAAGCAACAGGTATTTGCGCAATGTTAATTAGGCAGATTACCTTGAAAAACATTGCGGCCGTATTTCTGATGTAGTTTTTTGCAAATTTCTCAGTTTTTAATAACAACTAATTTCTTTTACTATTTTTTCTGTACAGCACCAGACAACACCTCCAGAAGAATGACGCCAATTTTGAATCACCCTGTACAAAAATTTGAACTTTGCATTTGCAGTGAAAAAGTGCTTCGAATTAAGTAAAAATATAAAGTGGACCAATAAAAATTGTAAATGTTATATGTAGTTCTTTCCAAAATATGTAGTTCTGTACATGATTAGAAGCATTTTTATCAAAATCTGGAATTTCATAGAAAATACTTTATCCTAGAGACAAGTACACTTAACTAAATCAAGTACACTTAACAAAAAGTGTATGAAACAATAACAAAAATACCGCAAAAAACAAAACCATTTTTATATCAAATTGAGTTTAAAAACTTAACTGTTCGAGGCAGAAAGCTCTAAATAAAAAAAACGAAATTTACTAGCCTGAGAAAAGCGAATAAGAAAATGTCTACCAAAATAAAACTCACGAGAAAGCTATGTCAAAAATGTTACATCTTTTAGACGTATTTTAGTAACCTCTTTACATCAAAACAGTTCAAGCGTAAAAAACAATTGTCTTCATTTTTTTGAGTGGATAATTACTAGCTGTTGTAAAAGATATGTTAATATTCATTAAATTAATGCAGCACATTAAGATCCGGTTAAGTAATTTTCCATTGAGTAAGCTGATGAGTGAATTTTTATTTTAATTTTCATTATCTTTAAAAGTGAAATGTTTGAAAAGCGAAGGTTAAATTGCCCTAATTGTATTCAAATATGTAAGTATGAATGTCATTGGATACTTCAATAGACGCTTATTCGCTTAAGCTAAAGAAAATGTCAGCAACATTATTAATAAATATATTGAAACAATATTTTTAAATTTTTCTTTACTTTTTCTGCACCGCTTGTAACGATTAACTTGAATGAATGAATTTGTATCCATCATTAATTCCTAACTTGAACACATCGATTCGATTCCATTTTAGGCAATTTAACCTTCGCGCTTAAAACAATTCACTTTTGAATGTAATTAAGCTTAAAACAAAACTTTTGGTTTACGCAACGGAAAATCCTTTAACCGGTTCCTAATTTGCTGCATTTATTTGACGAATCTAAAATGAATTAACATTTTAAATCCAACGAGCGGTTTACTCAGTCAAATAAAGTTCGCGAAAACTCTTCATTCTAATACGTATTGCACAAGACAATAAAGAGAAAGTGATATTTGCTGTTAAATAAAAATTGCAATCCAGTCGGACATTTTATTTTCCCGCTCAATGAACACGGGCACTTAATTTAGTGGTCACGTGAACAAGAATGATTTTGCAATTATCAATCTTACTACTAACAATTAGCTGTATGTTTGTATATAGTTATGATCCTGCAGATCCCGAAATAAAGACAGTTATTCCGCCAAAAGGTAAGATATTTACGTGAGACAACTTTGGATTAATGAGTGGCAAATGCCCGCGCTTCGACTCGATATTGATACACAAAAGTTTCAATTTTTAATTAAAATCACTTTTTTGGCAGCATTTGTTTAAGAAAATGTTTTGTTAATAGTAATAATAAAGTCAAAGACATAAATGTTTTTTCAATATTCTACTGAATGTAGCAAAGAAATGCTTTGCACACCAAATTTGCATAAAGTTTTTTGGAACACAAAATTTTGAACCCACATAATTACTTTTTTATTGGCATCTTTAATTTTAAGTAAGTTAAGTTTAATAATAAGTTTTTTTTTTAATCAGCTTATCGATGTTTGCAGGTCAATTTGAAGCATTTTATCCCAGAGGCGGTGAATTGGGCTCAGTAAGAGCTGCCCACTCCCATGGAAGTTTCTACAAACATCGAAACCCAGCCCTGGTTGATGCACGAAACGCTGCTGCTTATGGCTTTAGGTTCGATGGAAAGCGCAGATTCAATTACGAGTAAAATGTATGTGAACTAAAAATTTAACAAAGCCAAAATGGAAAATATACCAGCATTTCGAAATGATTTTCATGTGGTTTCGGTATAAAGTATCAGTTAACCATTTTAGGCATTGGTAGCACTATGTTGAGCTGGGCGTTAATGAGTTATAACTCAACGCGTCTCATTGCGCTTCACCACATTAATAGAAAAAAGTATTCAGTCAGGCAAGAAGTCGACTTAATTATAGTGTGAATTTGGTTCCGACTGAGCTCTTGGTTACTTGAAGACATTTTCAAAGTTGAAATAAAAGGCGAAATTTGACAATGATATACAAGATTAGGACAAAATTTTATGCCACTTTTTTGCTCACCTTGCTTTGGAGCACCGGATAGAAAATTAAATTGCACATTTTCACTAATTAAGTCATAGGATCTGGGGCTAGCAGATGAAGCAAATAAGGCAGAGGCGATTGAAAAAATATAATACAAAAATAGCGAACATGACCATAACTAGAAGGTAATAAAATTACGCTACAAAGTAAATTTTGAATAATTCTTACAATCAGAATTTTTAAAGAACATTTTTAATTAGTTGAAATTTTGTTGGTTTCTGTCATCACTCGGAAACCGATCAACAGTTTAATTTTTAAGTGATTTCTTCGCGATTTTTTGATTAGTCAATATTTTTTGAACTAAGTTAATTCGGTTATTAATTTTACTTTTGGTGTTATGCATTAATCAACCACTGCAGTTGAGTGCAATTCAGATAAAGATAAATGGTTTAAATTAAAAATTAAATTAGTGAAAGATCGGCGCTTGGAGTTTTTCGTTTAGTTGTGAACGTAAAATTGCCTTTGGAAATATTGCAATTCGAACAAGCACTTTCTACAAAAATGTCAACAATAAACACAGCAATAAACAAGAACACTGAAATCGAACTGTCAAGCAATGAGTCATCGAAAGGGCGAACAAGCAAATGAATATATAATCATCTTTATTCTGTACATCGGTCCCTTTTTTTCCGAAAAGGTGTATGAATAATCAGTTTGCTACGGACAGTGGACGAAATCGATCGATAATCCTTTGTGTCGTGTGAATCGCGCTTTATTAAATGGGAAACATAGAATCATTGTGGCCCTTATGGCAAGTGCGGTAGTTTGTGAAAGTGTAGTGATCTTTTTGAGGATTAATGCGTAGAACATGGAGGATGAGGCCTCAGCTTGCAGAAAGCTGGTAAGAATGATCTCTAATCTATAAATATTTTCGCTTTAACTGAGTTTAGTTTTCCGACAAACCCAGACAACTAAAGTTTTATGGTTTTTTTTATATTTATCTCTCTTTGCTTTGCTGATTTCAAGTTTGGCTTTGGACAGATTTTCTTCTGTACTAAACACATTTTCTTCTTTTTTCCAGGTGGCACTACGCAGCTTCCGGTACCTTTCCCCTGGTTGATTTTTGAAGGTTTAAAGAAATTTTAACAACATTTAGAGCGCACTCTTTACTCACCGCACAACTCTGAACTTGTAGAATATTTTTCGTTTCTGAGAACTTTATTTTCGGAAAAACGCGATGCAAAACGTGTCCCACGAGATTTTTTAAATCCTATGCAAAATTTTCTTTACGATGAGTGAACTTCGAAACAATTGATAATATGGAAATGAATCTTGAAAGTATGCGATTTTCATGAAAACCTGAAGAATTCCGTATAAGATGCCATTATAGCATTCAATAAAAAAGTAAACTTTTCTTCTCCTCCTGCCATAAAATAAAGTTATTGCCGTTCAAAACGAGCAATTATTTGAACACAATTTTGGGTCATCCTGTATGTCGCAGTAGAATTTTTAACAATTTGCCACATAACTCCATCTATTGATAGCCGCAAGATAAAATTTGGCTTCAAAATTTTGGCACAAATGAGTGTTGAGAATTTAAACTTAAAAAAAGGTCTACACTTTCACAAAAGTTCAAATATTTCAGAAACCGTAAGCTTTAATTATCATAAACCTTAATAAAACTTACTTACTTAACAGGGTAGTCCATAAAAAATGCAACCTTGTACTTTAGAAAATAATTTTAAAATGCACCACCCGGCTGTTCTCGGTTTAATCATAAAATTATATTTTATAAAAATTAAATAGTTTAGCCGCAATTTTCCGTGTCGTATAATCTGAATAACCCTGTATATACGAGTTGACTTTAATGAGTTTACTGCAAGATAATCTGAGCCGCTGCGTTGCCTAGGCGCACCACGCCGTTGCCACAGAACTGCGCCAACTCACGAAAATTCACTGAGTTACCCAGGCACCGATAGATCCTTTGAAGGCAATAAAAAAAACTACTTGCATTAATAAAAATAATAATTTATTTACATAACTTCAGAATTATCTAAATCTACTGTTTTCCGTCGCTTGAAGCTTTTCTTTCCTCGAATCTCCTCCAATTTCCTTTTCTTCGATATTTTTTTCTTTTCCTGAACTTTGATTTTCTTTTGGGCGTACAACTCTGGATCAGTCACAGCCAGCTGGTTTCTTTCCCGTTTCCTTTCCGCTCTTCTCACTGTCAAATTTTTCTGCAACTTCTGCAAGAGCATGGAATATTCGTCGATTCCGATGATTTTCTTTAAGTGATTGGCCACTTCCTTGGCCAATTGCCTTAGAGGCGCGTTCTTTTCTTCCGTGGTTATCATTTCGCGAACTAACGGAGCTAACAAATGATGTAAAATGGGTTTTATATTCCCCTTATCTAGGGCAGTGATAACTCCGGCGGTCCACTTGAACACTTCAGTCCTTAGAATGATGCTTGCACTGTTTTCGATCACTTCAGAGTTGATTATTTTGCGCATCCTCTTGCTAAGCCAAAGCAAGTTGACTTTTTTCTCGGTGTTATTGGGGACTTCTTGCAAAACACGCGCAATAAAAACCAAGTTTTTAATCACCTGCTCTGCTAAGTCACTCTTAATGTCGGTCGGAGTTAACTGATCACACAAATCCAACGTCAAACTCTTCAAGCAGTTTTCTGGATCGCTGTGCAGATATCCAGCTCCGGATTTTTCTTCCAGCAGCAATTTTGCTAATTTATCCACGTCAATAGATGACAAAACAAATCCCAAAAATTGGGCTGCCGCTAAACGAACCCAATCATGGGGATAAGCTAGAAGCGTTTGGCTGTAGTACGCTAAATTCTCAATAGCTTTCTCATTTTTCAAGAACTTCGGACAGTGCGTGCATATCTTTAGTATCAACTGCAGCACTTGGAAGTAATGGTGATCCTTCAAGCGCTGTATGTTTTCTGGGGTGTTTTTCGGCCTATTCACTTTCACAAACTTACCAGGAGCGTTGCTGGTCAGTCCGAATTGTTTGAGCAAAAGCGGCACCATCACAGGCAAACGCGGTTCGAATTCATCAGTTTCTACAGTTACAAATATTCCGCATAATTGGGCAGACAAACGCCTATGGCTAATCTGGAAAAAATTAGAGCGCCGTTGAAAATGCACGTTGCATTTAGATATGTGGCTGCCTACCTCTTTATCCTTCAGCCAAAGAGTTAATATTTCAAAAAGAGGATCTCTATCAGCTTTGACTAGTCTTTTCAGCATTGCTGATAGACATTCGGCGACCATTTTTCGGCATTCCGGAACGTCGTCATTTACTAGTCTAGCCCCCAAGGTAATCAACAATGTGCCGCTGTGATTCTTCAATACTGCCTATACAAAAATTATACATTTACACATCTTACCGCGCGTAGAGTGCGTTACTTACCAGTGGGAAGGAATTGATTAAAGTGTGGATCATTTCAATTGCAGACTCTCGTCCGTGTTGCATTTCAAAACTCATTTGAGAAATGTAGAAACTAAGGTGTTTTTCCAACGAATTTCCCAGAGGATATTCCATGATAAATTGATGAAAGACCGACCTAGAATTTTTTAAATGTACAGAAGTGAGAGTGGGGTTGAGACCGGATTGAACTAATTTTACTTTTTAGAAACGACCAACGTTCATTCCGGTTTTATCAATGTTAGGCCTAGATAAAACTTGAATAAACGGTGCCAGAAATGTATTACAGTCCGACTTACCTAGATTGAGATCTAACGTAATTTAACTCAGAAATGATACTCAGTTCAGCCACTTTAGCAATCACATCCTGTATTTCAGGAACAATTAGTTTCCGTGAAATGATGGCTTTCAGCAAACTAAACGCAGTAGCTTGACGGTCATGATCATGCATATCCTGTTCCACATATATCAGAAGAGCTTTAAGCTGATCTGTGGTAACTGTGTAGTAGTGGACGTCTCTTACTAATACTGCCATGGCCTAAAAAATTTAATTCGTTAGAAACAATCAAAATATTTTAATTAACATAATTTAAATGTGAATATATCAGGTTTACCTTAAACGCAGCTACGACTAAATCGAAATTATCTCCCTTACTAAGACCGGAGCACGAATATTTGTGCAAGATCGAGAACATTTCTTTGACGACTGGTTTAATGTTTTTCTCCATTGAAGGAATGTCGTATTTCATAACCCACTGAAGACACTGGAGAGTCAATGAGCACAACTGAAAATACTAACAGTAGAAAATAATCATCATTAATAAAATCTTAGACAAACCTTCACATGTTTGGACAGTAAACATTTTTTAAATATATTCACAAATGGATCAATAAACGGCTTGTATTCGTCTGCTTTCACCATGTCTCTTTTCAGTAGAGCCAAAACTAGCCTTAAGCCAAATTCCACGATTAAATGGGCATTTGTGTTGGAAGAGGTTTTCACATTTAAGTCCCTGTACGCAGTTCTATTGCCTGGGATTTTTGGTATAATAAAACAGTCTTCTTTTTGGACCTTCTCCTGTAATTGAGGCGATTTTTTCTTCTTCGTTGGTAATAGAGTACTGATTGTTTGAGCTGAAGTGCCATAAGCAAATTTCAATAAGGATTCTACGGAAATGAATGAGTTGTCCACAAGGCCTGAAGCTATATGTCTTAACGCGTCCTGGCCTTTTTGAACTGCTTTAAACGAATGATTTGAATCCAGCAATTGTTTTATCGGTAATATCAGATCCATCAGGCACTGTTCTGTGATGTTTTGAGCAAGTATCTGCAGTGTATCATAGCTCTTGGTCGATCTCGCCTCCGATACCTTCACAGTGATTTTAACTACTTCCTTTTCTTCTGATAGGATTCCGAAGAGATCAGCCGTACATAACTAAAAACGTATACAATTAGGATGATTTAACACATTATCAATTAGTTGCTTACATTGAGAACAGTTAGCAGGACGTCGTCAATGTCTTTCGGCTCGTAGCGTCCTTTGAGGCAACTGAGAATGCCGTGAACGGTGAAGACCAAAACATGCACTTGAAACCCTCTGTTCATTAGAGGCGCTATTTCTCCCAACAGCATGCCAAGATATTTCGGCCCCAGAGATAACATGATTTTTTGAAAGGTCTCTTTTGCCACTCGCCTTACCGACTCTAAGTGCGATTTTAGAAAGGTGCAGAGTTTCAAAAATACCCTGAAAATTAATTGTGAGGTCAATTTTTCTGTCTACAATGGGTATATCATAGTCTACTAATCAGAGTTTCATACCATTTCAAAGGAAACGGAAATTGTTGGGTGTTCTGCGTCGAAAATGTTTGTCTTTTGAAAGAATGCTTTTATTTCTCAATAAGGAATTAACAAATTTTTAGAATTAAATACGGTGACTAATGAGAAGTATTAAATTAAAAACCGACATGAAAATATATTTGAAAATGTCAATCAGAAATCAATTAGAAAAGAGTCAAACAAAAGGCGTCTGCAACATAACATTGTTCTAATTTAACAAAGTAGAAGTAAAATTTTTAAAATCAAGGAAAGTTTTACTTTTTGAAATTGGAACTGTAATTATTCGTTGTATTATTTATCTAGATATTTTTTTATTAACAAATTTTTTATCGAACGGGTAACAAAAACTCCCTCTAAGCGCGAGCCGCAATAGCAAATTCCTAATAGTAGAAATTACTTTAGAGAAGTTGCATTGCATTTAGGCCGAAACCCATAAAAAAAGTTATAATTATATTTTTGGGTCAAAGGTAAAAAATCATACATCCAAGAAAATAAATGCTTGAGATAAGAAAGAATAAAAATACAGAAATAAACAATCAAAATAAAACATTTCACGAGCAAGCATTCATTAGCATGCTATGCCTTTTTTTTTAATTGGCATTATCGTCATTGAATATGGCCATCATTATCACATTTTTCAGAAATTTATTTTTTCTAAATTTTGAATCAAATTTTACCAATCGGTTTTATAACCGCCTTTTTTTTCTGTTCGCCTTAAATCGTCATCCAGGCTCCTAATTCTCATTCCGCCGCCTATTCGTTGTATCCAGCTCGTCCGTGGTCTTCCTCGCTTCCTCGTTTATTGCATATAGTCCAAAAATCGTCAAACTCCTTTAATAGTTATATTCATTTTCATCCGACGTGCGTTTATAGCTTTCCAGTTGATAATAAATTTTCTGATGGATACTGTTTGTTGTGCATGTTTTCCCAAATTTGTTTTGATAGCGAAAAATGTTGATAATTTCGAAACTTTCATTTCATGCATATAGAGAACTTACTCAAATAAATCGATATTTAAAATTTTACTCGAATCACTCGATAATGACAAAAAAAAACCATTGTCAAAAGTTTATTTGATAAAGCAAAAAATAAATTGTAATCATCTAAATTTATTAAAGAAAAACAATTCACAGGGGAGGTTTTAAATTTCAATAATTATCCAATATTTTACAGGGCGCGTGTTGTTGCCTTTGTTTAACAATTTATTAATAGCCTTTTTAGGTATCATTTGATAAGGACAAAACGCAATGCAACTTTTTAAAACTAATTTCTTTACTAATGTAATTTGAGAAAAATGTCACCCAAGAAAGAAGATTTGAAAACATTAAACCGCCTCAACCGTCTATAACTTATCTACCACAAGCGTTATTGTCTAATAAAAACAATTTAAAAAATTAATTTACTGTTAGTGAGTTTTTTGCTTATTAGCAAATGTCTAATTAAATTTTGTGTTTTTCTGCCACTACATTAAACTTCACAATTAATATTAAGTTTAACTGTTTTTTAGAAAATCACAGATTTTAGCATGATTTTGTCATTTGTTTAGCGTGAAACGCTTTGTCTTTTACCGCGATTAAATATAACGTTAACTTTAAATTAACCGGACTAGTCCCAAGTGATTTTCAGCGACCACATAACAGTTCAATGATCACTATTAAAATAAAACGTGCTGCTTTAAATGCAGCGTAAGAGGTCGATACTTTACAGAATGCTTCCGATCTAGCTGGCCAAATGTTTTTAAATGACAAACAAAATTTTAGTGGAGAAATATAAACTTAGGGATATTGAGAATCAATATAATAACATAAATATGTACTTTACAGGTGATAAAATATACAAAACATTATGGCCTCTGTTTGAAAATATAAAATAAATTGCAACTGTCTTGTCTTGTCTCTTAATTTGTCCCTAAATTAATTTTGCTTTCCAGAATTGCCAAATTCATTAAGGGAGTGAAACGGACTGTTTTGTTATGGTACCTATCTAAACAATAGAATTTATTACATTATTATTTATTTATTAATTTATTTATTTCTAACTGGTGCATGGAACAAAATGAGGCCCATTTGAATTGTTCAACATTCAAACATTGTTCAATAAGTATAAAGAATTAGTTTATTTTCGTTGTTCCTTATTAAACCTTTTAAGTAAGTAATTTTGATAATGAAAATTTTGTTTAAAAAATGCATACAATCCCGGTTTCTGTTATCCCTTTGTTTTTGAAATTTTGGATTGCCAAGAGCTCTAAAACAGTTCCGAAAACCATGTAAAAGAAAAAAGTAAACGTCGCAACAAAACTATAGCAAACATGGAAAATGGACATGAAAGTTTTGTTTTGCCGATTAACTGCATCTCCAAAAAAACAAACCTCGTTTGCATGCCACAGTGTTGAATTTTCAAATGAAATTCTGTGAGTTGATGTGCCAATCTTGTGCACTAAGCTACAATTGATTATATCGGGTATTGTCGAAAAGCGGAGAAAAAATGTATTTTAACTCCGAAAAGTTGGTCACTCTGTATCTTTTTCAATCGGCATACAGGCAAATGTCATACATTTTTTTTCTTATAATGAGACTTGTTTTCGTTTAGACTATCAATTTACATCTGGAACATCCTGTATAATCATTCATGCCAAAGTACAGATATCGATGATGAAAATCGGGCATTACTCTCATTCGTATCCAAAGAAAATAAAAGGGGGTATAGCTCAGTGGTAGAGCATTCGACTGCAGATCGAGAGGTCCCCGGTTCAAACCCGGGTGCCCCCTTAATTGAACTTTTTCTTTCCCAAATGGGCATTTGAAGCTCTTTTGCTAAAAATATATATGATATTCCCAAGCTAAACAAAAACTTCTTCCATGAAAATCTCAAAACGTTTCAAACTATAAACTTTTAAAGCTTCTAAAAAAATATCTGATGATATTTCAATAAACAATTTTGCAATGTAACAACTTTGTTTAACTTGAACATTCCAATCCATGGCCCCAACAATAACAACAATCAGAATAGTTGACATAGAAAACACATATTTAAAAGCCGTGGATGGCAAGTCAGCAAATTAGCGCATTCACCACAGCCAACTGCCCAAACTTTCCTTTAAAACTCTGATTGCTGATAGTAATAAATTAAAAGTAAACAACCTTTGCCACATTTGAGATATGTAGATAAGCTTCTTACTTACCCCGGTAGGTGAAAATCAAGAATTTTCTTCGGCAATCGTTGCAGTAATTTTACGACGGCCAAAGATATGGGCACCCTAGACAGATCTTCCTCTTCGCGCTCGGCTCCCGTTCTTTTTCTATTGACTTTATGCGATGAATCGTAGTGGGTCATTTGTGCGAGGGATTTATTTAATTGCGGCAACAAAACCATCTAAAAAATTATCAATATATTTACTTTCCAAACTTTTAGCGTTTCAAAACATCAATTATAAAAAATTCGCTCCAAAAAAAAGAAAACGTTTTTTAAATAAAACGATTTTTACCTGAATGCTCTTGATAACCCTTGTGGCTGTTGATTTGCACAGAACGGAAACTTTTTCCATAATCTTTTCCTTTTCGTTATCCTCCGGTTCTTCCTCAATGTCCTCATTATCCTGCAAAAAATCCTCCAACTCCGGACTTTCTTCAGCATTCTCTCCGTCAGCTGGTTCCTTATCCTCCACTTTATCGCCTTCCATCACAACTTCGCTTATCACCTTCTCTTTCCCCACTTTGTCAACTTCCATTGCAGCTCCCTTCATCAGCTCATCACATTTCTTGAATTCCCCGATGTGGCCTTTACTCAAATCGAAATGGAAGGCATCCAATATAATAACTACCAATCGTATCAGTTGCTTTTGAAATTCGGCTTTGTACCGTAGTTTTGAGAGGGTGTATTTCAGAACCGCTTCATATTGGTGCCAAGGAATAATTCTGCAAAGCACTCCGACCATTTCGATCGAAGCATCAACTACAGCGTTCTTTCCTGAGAACTTTTCGGTGCCCAAATAGTAAGTAGCCAGAGGCAATAGGAATTGAGTCACCGTTTTAGGATTGGGAGGAACTGTTTCTTCTCTCATCAATTGGCAGAACTTTGTCATCGCCCTGGCATGTCTGTGTATCTGCATATGGGTCAAATTTTCGAAGAAATCCACTTCAGGATCCGCCTTATTTGTGTATTTATTTAAATCCCTTAGAGCGAAGTGGATATCGGGGCACTCCCTGGCTAAACAGCCCATCAAGCCAATGCATTCATTTCGAAAATCGGCATTATTATTGACTCTCATTCCGTTTTTGATTAAGCTAAATATGCAGCCGTTCAAAAGATAGTCCAGATCCTTCTGATTTCTTTGGCATTTTTTTAAAATGGCTGGGCATAGCATGCGTAAGGTATGCGAGGAGTTGCCTTTCAAGGATAGATCCTTTTCGTTCTTCATTGTGAAGAACAGATTGTAGACCAGAAGACTGCCGAAAGATACATCTACTTCGTTATTGGTTATTAAATCCTGAATTTTCTTAAATGCCCCGTGGCGCTTCTCGAAGTCTGGTTGGTCTAGCCACTTTACATCAAAGGCATTTAATTCGTTGATTAAACTTGACGCAAGTGCCAGTTCCGTGCAGCCTGATTTTGATCCAATGTAGTTCAGAGTTTTAATTAAAACCTTCCTGCAGGAAGAATAAGAAACGTCCGCAAACAAAGGCGTCAAGTTCCTCAAATGATTTTCTGGGTGGTCCACATTTTTAAGCAGATTATAAATGGTGGTTAGGAACTGTAAAACTACTTCTTCGTCTGAAGCACATTTCTTCGCTACAACTGGCATAAGTAGTTGCAATATCGAGCCACTAATATCACTTTCCCAAACAAGTTCAGATATCCGGCACAAGATGAACAACTCAGTCTTATTCAGAGACTTGTTTTTACCTTGCAGCTTCCGCTTAATTTTTTCGAGAATAATTGGTACATGTGGAAGCAGAATGCAACTTCCATAATTCAACTTCTCGTTGATTTTGCACTTTTCCAAAATGGTTTTTTCAATGGGCAGCACATTTTCTACCTCCAGTGCCACATCGGCTTCGTCCGCGGCCAGTTCATATTTAAGCAGCGATTCTACCATTTCGTAGATAACATTCACAACGGCGATGTTGCTCTTTTCATTGACCAATAACTTGAACACGTGGGGCAGGATGTATTGATTCGGGTCGTCTTCTTTAAACTTCACTAACAACTGGAAATATCTCGGATTCGATCCCCATTGCTGTATAAGTTTTAGTAAAGTTGTGGGACTGTGGATACCCTCAACGTTCAACCTATCCAGATAAGGCCAAATGAACGTCTCAAAGACTGTGTTAATTTGCTTAGGAGTCCACAAGTACTTGTCAAATTGCTCAAAGAATCGCTCTAAGGTTTTTAATGAGGACGTTCTGATGTTTCTTAGAATTGCCAAATATCCTGAGTGAATCTACAGAGAACAGTTTGATGTGAACAAGGGAAAAAAAACCAGAAGTAAAAAATTTAACTTACCTTGTCCATTTGATCTAACACTCCTTTGGTGGTAGATCCAACAACGAAAAGTATTTTCAGCAAATAGGTCAGCAACTTGTCGCCCATCAAGCCGCCAAATTGATCCAAAATAACATTGAGCAGATTAATGGTGCTGAGCAGTTTCTTTGGAGCAAAGCACTTCTCCAGGTCAGTTTGTTCAATTACTGACTTAACTAAAAGCAAATCGTCCTCTTGCAGATACTTTGCGTAAACAGCAAACGATTTCTGCACAAAACTTAACATTTCGGTTTCGTCGCATCCAGCTAAGAAGCGCAAAATTAAACTCCTCCGGTTTTGTCCACCGGCCTTTCCTCCTGTTCTCAAACCGGTTTTAAGGCTCATTTTGCTAAAAACTATCTGCAAAATCACCGGCATGAGATTTTCCCTATGGTCAACTTGGACTTCAGTCGTTTCCTTGTCAATCCGAAAGTTTGTGATTTCATTCTTGAAATTTTTCTCGTCGACCAAATTGTACAAATGATCCTTGTAAGGCATCAGGTATTTAAACTTGTATGTCATCAGACAATCTAACGCTGCCTTCTGAATATCAGCGTTTCTGTGTCTTAGCAATTCGAAATAAAGCTGATATAAATCGGATTCGCGGTACATTGATTTGGGGCTTCTGATTTTGGAAAGCACTGATAATTTGTTTAATAATGTCCTGAAACACACAAAAAATGAACGTTAAGCAAATTGGACTTTTTCGTAAAGTAAGCGATGATGTTGCTATTTTAATTTCGCTGTTATTGTTATGTTACACGGGATGATGCACTTCGAGAAGATGAAGAAATGGAAGCATTTTTAGAAGACAAAGTAAAGACACTGAATAAAGGAAAAACACATTTCAGAATGATCATCGGCGACTTTAATGCAAAAAACGGAGAGTAAAAACAAGGAAATCCAGATAATGTTGGAGATTCGGTTTGGAAAGACGCAATGACGCGCTGACATGTTCATTAATTGCATTTTAGCTGAAAACGTATTCTGTTTAAAGGAGATGGACATGGAGAAATCCAACTGGTACGATAAAAAAACGAGAATAAGAGGAATATCTGTACTGACGTAACAGTTTGATACTGGAAGCGACCACCGGGTGATTAGAGCAACAATTCCCCTAAACCTGAGAATTTAAAGAGCAAAACTTGTCAATAAGCAAATTAAGCGTCCATAAAGAGGCGTTTCAAAAAGAATTGGAGAAGAAATTTAACCACATTGTCAACATAACTGGAATCATCTCGCCGAGAAAATAAGGAAAGACATTCACACAATAAATAGGACAATTTCTTCCAGAGTTAAAATACCAAGACAGTAAGCTAACCCCAAGCACACTAAAACTTATAAAAGAAAGGAAAACAACATCCATAGATGCAGTAGAATACCAGGAGCTCAACCGGAGGATACAGAGGACAGAAAGGAGAGATGCAAGATCCTATAATACCACAACAATTGAAACCGGAATTGAGGATAATTCTAACATTAAAGTTCTTAGACCGATACCTTTGCCTGAAAAATCAAGAATTCTCATCCTCTGAAGGATGAGGATGACTGTATGTTGACTAGAAGAGACGAAATCTCTAAACATGTAGAAATATTTTATTCTCGTTTGCACACCTCTGTTGTGCTGGATCCTAATGTTCAGAGAGTTACCATTTGCAATGTAGGTTCAGAAGAATTTCCTGATATAACCAACGAGGATGTAAGGCTGGCACCAGGACAAATGAAGAACCGTAAATCGCCTGGTGAAGTGTACGTAACATGTGAAATGTTAAAAATGGGCGGAGACTTAACAGGAGGAGTTAGCAGTGGAGTTCGTCAGGGTGATCTTATATCCCGAAAACTTTTTACGTTGGCGTTGGAAGACGTTTTTAAAAAGCTACCGTGGCAAAATAAAGGTGTTAACGTTGATGGTAGGTACCTTTTTGAACCATTTATGCTTCGACGATAACATGAGTGCTTATTACCGAGCGACAATAAAAAAAAATGACCACCAAATTGTAACGAATGTGACATGAATATTTCTTAAGTTTGATAGTTTTTATTCAATTATCCGTTAATTTACAAATTGCATCATTTGAAGAAAGAAGAATAGAGTTTTATTTTTGGGGTAGGTTAAAAGACCGGGCGTTCCAAGACAAACCCACAGCCAGAAATATGATGGGAAGAAGTTAAAATGGCATTAGAACTTTGTCCAGGGCTGAGATTGAATCAGCAGTTTTTTCTACGGAAATTTGAATAAATAAATGCATTGAGAATGATCGAAGACATTTTGAACATTTGCCAGATTTTTTTGGCTTGATTGTGCGGGTAAATCTACGACTTTTTCAACTTCTACTGTTTCATTGTTATTATTTGTGCCGTTCGCCCGTTGGCTTTTAAGCACGCTACTGAAGATGCACTTCGACACATTTAGTCAGTAGTTAAAGCACGTGAAATGCAGTTTTTCAAGGTGGTGTTATAAGCTGACATTTCGCAAATTCATGTTCAACAAAATCGCCCGATCTTAATCTAGAGGATTATTTGCTGGTTGATTTTTTTGTCCCCAACTATGGTGTACAAATTAAAGGCAAATTGGTCTGATGCAACTGGAAATGTTAAATAATGCGTTTACACTGATAAAGAAGAGCAATTTCGAGCAATTGTTATCCCCCCATTATCTAACATCAGAAAAACTTATTATTTGGAGTTCATTCTTCTTAATTCGTTTTTTTAATATCCCTTAATTTATTTTTTTATATGTAATGTTTGTATTGGTTTATACATATTTATAAAAAAAAATACGAAAACGATAACAAATCGATTGCAATAAAACCGTGAGTACTTACTGAAACACAGTTTTCTTTCCAAGTTTGGAACGTTTTGGCGTTTCAGGCTCCTCAGAAACGCCAATATTTTGCTCCATTTCTATCACCTTCAATTGATCTGAGCTTTCTTCTCCGGAGAAAGTTTTAATATTGCACATAGTTGCAATTTCTGCGCTAGTATTAGTATACTCATCTCTATAACCAAAAAAAAGGTCAACATTTTGCATTGTTGAAAAAAAATTGGCACTTACTGAATAAAGCTCAAAACTAATTGAGAGACGTCTCTTGTCTTAGATTCGCCTACATCTGCAAACATGCCCAAAGCTTTCCAGAGTAAAATCCTATAATTAACAAAGTCCGATTTATCATTCACTTTCTGTGTGTCCTGAAACAAATCGCCCAAAGTGTCCAAATTCGTTTCGATTACATCCATCTTCAAGTCTGACGCCTTCGCAATCTGTTCAACTGTTCGTTGCAATTGCACGCTGAAAACACTCCAAAACTCGTTGATGTTCAATCCATGAGCGTGTGTTTCGATAATTTTGCACACTGGTTCCCAAAGTAACTTGAAATTCATGTACAAAACTCCACATAAATAACGAAGAGGGATGATTCTGAAGGCAGTCTTATTGCACATGATCATTTGCGGTTTGTCAAAGTTCAGTTTTTCCAATCTTTGCAACTGATCTCTATATGTGTGAACCAGGGGTTCGATAGATTCCACTTGATGCATCAGTGTAAAGATTCGAAATGGCTCAATCGGGACTTTCGGATCATCCGAGTGCTTTAAGTCGAATTCTGGCAATCTTTCGAATAAGGAGTATATGTGAGAAGTCAATAGACGCATCTGGAATAATTGATGATTTGTTTATCTAGTTTAATATCTTAAGATTAACAGTATTCTATTTACAGCGTATCCATTTAATATTCGGATACTATACCCTATTTCAACTGCGGCTTCTTTGCAAACGATATTTAAAAAATAGGTAAATAAACTTGATTCAAGAATATTTTTAAATTAAAACATCGCGCTCATGATGATTATAAATAATGTGGTGGTGAAACATATTACCACATTTTGATTTATTTTCCTGACTGCATGTAATTGTTATTATATTTTTTTCCTTCCTGGGTTTCAGTCAGTGTGAAATCATTTTTTATATCGTTTATTCCATAACGTTTCGGCGAGACAACAGCGCCATCATCAGATTAAAAATTCATACAAACTCATGATTGGTGAAAATCAACGTTCTTTTAGGTCTTTGCCATCTTGAAACCTTCTTACCAATCATGAGTTTGTGTAAATTTTAAATCTGATGATAGCGCTGTTGTCTCGCCGAAACGTAATGAAATGAACAATGTTCAAAATTTTTACTTCTCACTTTGACTGAGACCCAGGCAAGATAAGAATATCATAACAAATACACACAGTCAGGAAAATAAATCAGAATTATGTATTATGTATCTGTATGGTTGCTTGCAGAACGGAATCATGTTTTTGCATGAAGCCGAACTGCTCCAGAGGGACCTCATAATTGGGAAACATTAGATTCTTTTAGGGCTTGGCTGTCTTAAAACCTCAAATTTTTTGTTCCAATTGAACAACCGAAACGTTATGAAATAAACGATATAAAAAAATTTATTTCACACTTTGACTGAAACCCAGGAAGGACAATAATTTAATAACATATTTCCACAGAAATATTGGCAGTATTGCCATTTTTTTTTCAAAGAGTTTTATACAGCTTTAATAGTTTTCAGATTTTTTTAAAGAACGCTTTGTATTTTTCTCAGCTTCAACTCATGAAAGCCTTAATGTCTCACCATAATCCACTAATTCCAATCATCCTGTACAAGTCATTCTGATTTTTTATTTTTCTATCTCTTATCATCAAGCCGCAGTTAAATAACTGAATGTCAAATGATCACTCTGTATAATTGTATATTAATACTTCGAATTTATACAGGATGAGTTTTTTTCGATGACTTCTACAGGAGTCTTGGAAACTACAACAGATACAACGAAGAAAGTTAAATGAACAAAAAACTGAAGTTTTGAATGCTCTACTCAAAACCAATTTTATTTTTCTAAAATTTTACAGCTGTCAGGAACCATGTGAAAAAAAACACTTATTTATGGCAGATTTTTAAATGATTCCTAGTTCCGTCAATATTAATCTAACAGGAAAACATTAAATAGAAAAGTTGTAGAAAATTGCATGTGACATTTCTACCAATTTACTGTCATTTTTGACATATGACACAAACTTAAGTTTTTTAAATGACAACCATATTTGATTATGCCTTTATTGAATAGAGCAGAGAATTAGTTGATCGAAGTTAGCCATGGAAAATAGTATAAGGCAGACATAAGTGTCTCCATAGTAACAAATAATAACCACACCACATCATTCAATTATTTGGCATTCAAGTTACTTATAAATTTAAGTAAGTTTTATTGTAAGAATAGACTATTCCAATGAAGAAAAGCGCGACATGATTGAAACATACATTAGATGTGATAAAAATACTGGACAAGTCTCTGATGACTATTTTGAGAGGTATTTTGACCGTCGTCAGCCATCCTTAAACACATTCAAAAGATTATACGGCAATTAGGCTTACTTATAGGGCAATATTGGTTATACTTATGGGAGTTTTACACAGCCAAGAAATGAAGATAAATTAATAAATGAAGGCGTGGAGTTTACTGTCAAAAATGACAGTATGACATGACATACATTACTGTCAAAAATGACAGTTAATTTAATAAGAAATGTCACATGCAATTTTTCTTTGAAATTTTCTACAACTTTTCTATTTAATGTTTTTCGGTCAGATTAATACTGACAACTAGGAGTCATTTAAAAATCTGTCATAAATTAGTTTTGTTCAAATATCTCTTAACACCTCAACCTCTCTCAACACCTAGCTAATTTTGAAAAAAGAAAATTAATTTCGAGTAGAGCATTCAAAACTATGCCCCTGTAATCCCTGTAGGTACTAATCATCGAAAAAAAATTATAATATGATATAATTATACAGGGTGTACATTTGATCTTATGCGAGCAAACTGCAGGAAAGTCAAGTTAAAAAGCACTTACATTAGTGATTTCAGTAGGGATAGAAAACTTACCTCATGGTATGGACTGTTAAAATTGCCTTCACAAACTGCATTAATTTTCACAAGCATATTCGAATTGATGGCATTCTCGCAATCTTTAAAGGCTTCGAAAAGCAGGTCCAAAGATTTAAGTGCAATTAAATATTTCACTTCTGAAGCATATTTCAGGAGTACATCGACTATTTCTTTAAACTTTTCCTGGATGGTTGTGGTGTCATCTACGTGAATAAGAGCTTCCAGAATAATATTCAGCCAAAACAGCTGCCTTCTAATTTCACTTGGTTCCGCCTCCTTTTCCACATGGGTCAGCAATGAGAAGAAATTAGCATGTAATTTTTCAATTAGCAAAGTTTTCTGCTCCGATTTCAACTCGAGATGTGGAAAACAAATTAAGGCACAGAAGTAGTTCTCAGACATGTTAACCCACTGACTATCGGCGATGTTCAAAAAACTGAATAACTTTTCAAATATTTCCGGTCTCAACTGTCGGAAGTCCAATGAGTACTTGCTCCAGTCTCCTAACGAAATTCCTGATATACACAATGGTCGTTTGGTAACTACTAGTTTCGTCAAAGTGTAAATGCAATCATCATCAAACCCGTAGAATCCACATTTAGATAAAAACGTGGGCAAAATCAGTGTTTCAAACAAAGAGCAACTTCCAGTATTCTCTATAAAATAAAGCAGGACTTTCTTTTCAGCGGTCGAAAGAATTTTCCTAATCAGTTGGGAAGCTTGTTCTTGAGGAAGCCTGATGCACTTTGAAAGCAGCATAGATATTGAAACTTGAATGGCTTTTTTTATCACGCTCTCGTTCAAATCGGTCAACGACAGCAATTTAACTAGCTGCTGAATGAGAACAGTTGGATCTTGCAACAGTTTGCCATTCTTATACTCAACCATTTGCCCAACTAATTTTAGGGTGTACTCAAAAACACGGTCATTGTTTTCACTCTTCCCTGCCTTGTGATTCTCTTGCAAAGTGACCATGGTTTTGATCAAAATATCCCAAAGCGGCTTGTTCTTTGTATGATGAATACCGTCTGCTATATTAGTCACAACATGTTCGATAATGTCAAACAAAGTGTCCTGATATTTTTCACTCCACAATGACTCAAAGCAGAATGGCAAAAACTGTTCTGCACAATTATGAAATTGGCCATCTACTCCATTGGCTACTTCAAACAGAAGCTTCCCACAGCCCGAAACGCCCTGAAAAGTACCAAAATTTATGGTATTAAATGGAAAAAATCATGTTAGTAGATAACTTACGTTATTCTTTTTGCATACAGTTTTCACAAGTAATTCTAAAAAGGCTGGTATGTCCTTGACTTTTCTGGCAACGAAGGCAAAACTCTCTGCAGCAAATGCGTTGATGTATTCAGGTTTTCCATCAGAAAGTAACGGCAGAAGCGAAGTGAAAACTTCATGGATGTTCTTAATCATGGGCCGCCAGAGGATTTTGAATAAGTGGGCTAAACAGCTGAAGGTCCATTCGAGCTGCTCAGTATCCTTAGTGTTCAACAGATCGATAATTACCTCTAAGAATTTTTGATAATACGGATAGAACTCCTTGCGCAGATCCTGTGCAAGAGCCACCACGCTTCTAAAGACAAAAACTAGTTAATTTTAAAAACATTGTTTTAAGTGGAGTATAATTACTCTAATATCGGCTGCAGATACAATGCATTTTTATGGCCCAAGTAGCTTAGAATCACTTCAATAATGTGGTCTTTGGCCAGTAGAACTTGCGGCAAAGTAACGTAGTTATCAGCCCTAATCTCCTTCTTAAACCTATCGTAGCCCTCTGTAAGGTTTAGTACATTCCACTTCTGTATGGTTTGGTAAAAGTGGCTTTCATTTTCCTCAGAATCAGCTTCGTACTCGTGCCTGATTTTGTGAAATATATCAACGTCGATGTTTGAAATGCGCTCAGCAAACGGTTGGAACTGAAAAATTTAATATATTAACGTAAAACTTGAACCGGTTGGATTTTTGTTGACTGGATGTTGATTCTTGACATTCAGTGTTTGAATGTTGAAAGTAACTGATTTACTTCGACTTCCGTTGTCTTACTTATAAGGATCGCAACATTTCGCTTGGCAAAATTTGCAACTTGCTTTGTTTTCACGGGAATAATTGGATGTAGAAAAGTTGCTTCTATTCCCGAATCATGCAAGATATATGAAAATGAACCTAACTAGAACGAGTTCCTCGTCAATTCTGTGAGAATAAATACAGTTTCATTTTTTTAAATAGATTCAGTTCACGAAACGAAAATTTGTGTTTTCTGGACAACAAAAAACGCTAGCTGATTTGAGACGTTTTAGAGCATTTACAGATCGTCATTTCATTTCGTTGAGGAAATAACCATGTTTTCAATAGATTGGGTTCACGAAACGAAAATTTGTGTTTTAATCCAATTAAAATTTTCTTTTAACCCTGCTAATGGTCAGAGAAACACTTGAAATCCTCCCACCGGTCTTCTAAACTCAGCAGCTATAATATTCCAAACATTTCCTTATACAAAATCTGCTTTTCTAACTCAATTAAAGACTTTGCTTGAATATCGTCAAAAGTCGCACATTCACTGGAATCAAAAGGAAAAATTGCCATGACCAACAAGGAGCCCGAGCAATAATTCATTGAAAAATTGGGGTAATCCATCCATTCATTGTCTTTAGTTCGATGTAACAGAAATGTAGCTGAAAATAGACTATGAATGCTTTCATTGTCGGTCAAAACATCGGCTGAATTTTTTTTGTTTTTGCACAACAGATCAAGCTTAATACTCGTGAGCTCTTGTGAAAATCAGGTTGAGTATTCCGTCGCTCATGCTGGTGAGTGCGAAAAGAACAATTTACAAATTAGAGCATGTTTTGTACATAGATCTGCCTTTTAAGCCTTAAAGGCCAATCCGATAAGATCTGGTAATAAAATTAAATTACGCGTTCTCTCGCTTTTAATAGTGCGCGCAAAGAGAACTCTTCACAAATCATAGAATGTGAATCTAAACTTTAAGCCGCTTTTGCAGAACAGATCAAGTTGCATGAGCTCAAAGTTTCAACTTTCAAAAAATAACAAAAGGCTAATCCGAGAACTCATGTGAAAATCAAGTTGTGTTTTCCGTCGCTCTTAATTGGGCGAGCAACGAAAATCATCCACAAATCATGGCATGGTTTGAATATGAATCTGCTCTTTAAGCCGCTATTGCGCAACAGATCAAGCTACATGAGCTCAAAGTTTTCTAAAGAATGAACAAAAGGCTAATCCGAGAGCTTCTGTGAAAATCAAGTTTCGTTTTCCGTCGTTCTTAATTGGGCGAGCAACGAAAATCATCCACAAATCATGGCATGGTTTGAATATGAATCTGCTCTTTATGCCGCTTTTGCCCAACAGATCAAGCTGCAAAAGCTGAAAGTTTTATAAAAATTGAACAAAACACTGATCCGAGAGCTCGCATTTAATTTAGGAGCTAAATGAAATTAAGACAAATATAAATGGCTTTAAATTTAAAATTGAAATAGTGAAAGATCGGCGCTTTGATCGTTTTTCGTTTAGTGGTTGTTGCCTTTCGTTAAGTTGGAACGTGAAAATTGTATTTGGAAATATTGCCATGCGAAAATGCACTTTCTACAAAAATGTCAACAATAAACAAACTGAAATCGAACTGCGAAGTAAAGCAATGAAAGGGCAAACAAGAAAATGATTATATAATCATCTTTATTCTATAGTTTTTTTTGCGAAAAGGTGATGAAGATCCAGTTTGCTACCGACAGTGGACGAAATTGTCCACTTTGTGTACTGTGGATCGCGCTCTTAAACAGGAAATATAGAATCATTATGGCCCTTATCCTACCTGCTAACTGTAGGATTAAAGTTTTCTATTTGAAGTGGATTTTCATTGTGTAGTGTGAAAGTGTAGTGCACTTTTTGAGGATAAACGTGCAGGAAATGGAGAATTGGACTCCAGCTTACGGAAAGTTGGTACGAAGAATATCTATCTCTCACTTCCTTAGATTAAACTGAGCTTAGTTTTTCTAGAAGCAACTGAAGTTGTATGGCATTATGTATCTCTTTGTCTCTTTTTGCCGATTTCAAATAATTGGACTTTGAACTAAGTGTCGGTTATACTAAAGAACGTTTTTCTTTCTTTCTAGGCGGCACCAAGCCATTTTTGGTAAGTTTTTGCATTCCTTTGCCCCTGGTTGTCATGTAGATGTAGAGCTTTTAGTCCCATATTGTTGCATGTCATATTTTTCCGACGAGGAACGACCAGGGAGTTTCTGGATTCTGTATCGGTTTTTCAATTTTTTTGCGAATTAAATTAATGCCAGATTTAATAGATGATATTAACACATTCTATGGTAGACTCTTTTCATATGAACTTTTACAGTCTGAGTCAATGTCGTTCTTCTACGAACCAGACTTCTTATTGTGTGACGTATTTTGGACCAATTATTGGTTTTCCTTTTTTATCAATTACATTATAAATCAAACGGTTCCTGTGTTCTTAGTAGGGATTGAACTTACAAATTCTAACTTTTTGCGATTTATTTCAACATTAAATGGTCGGGCTTTCCACAGTAGACTGTTCTAATATGTAAAATAAAATGCTCTGTTGCGATTACACTTTTACACGTGTTTTTTCTGCTGTAAATTCCAATCTTTGCTGCTTGGAAAGTCAATAATTCCCGAGAATCCAGACCAAAATGCCTAAAGGTATGTACATCTTATTTCTTACTTTGTGGTGGTTTAGCGGATAGAGGATTCTGCCTGTGATCGTGGCCAACGATTTATTATTCGCACTTTTTTTCAAATTTCACACTCTAAACAAATTATTTTTGGCAAACGACTCATGTGAGGGGTTTTCAGCTACCATCCGTCCGACTATTCAGATCCGCATTTTAATCAGATTTGCTGCTCGCATGTGCAGGTTTGTGGATTTTAAGTAACGACGTTAGCGTTTGCGAATTTAATGTCGCGGATTATGCGGAGTTTACAGTGCGTATTTTGCTGAATTTATACTACGGTTTTTGCGGAGTTTTTATTGCGGTTTATGCGGATTTTTCGAAATGGTAGCGTTTTCCTTTTTACAAATGCTAGGCTAATTTTAAAATATGTTAATTTACTACCTACAAGGTTTTCCTTGAATTTTCCTACTTTTCCTTAATTAATTTCCTTAACATTTAACGTTTTTCAGTTTTGCCGGATAATCCCTTAAAACGTCTCCATTTACCTACTAATAAAGGCTTTATCTTGCAGATTTGAACCATTTATATTTTATTGTTTTATTCAGATACTTACTTTCGAAATATTTAATGTTTTTTAGGTTTAACACGTCTTTAAAATGTCTCCACTTAGGAATAAGAGCTTTCTCTTGCAGCTTTGAACTATTTAAATTTTAATATGTCATTTAAGTACTTATTTTACTAATATTAATTTTTTTAGGTTCGCCAGATAACTTTTTTAAAGTCTCCATTTTCTTCGAGAATTTTTATTTTTGCTACATCATATTAGAATTAAACTGCTCAGCAAAATCAACGTTAAACTGACAAATTGGGACCAACTTTGGAACTGGATAAATTATGATGGCTGAGATTATTTGATTTCTGTTTGAAGCGTTATTTAGTGTTATTATTTTTAGAATAGTGCGTTGTTTTGCAAAAAAAAATAGTGCGTTCGATAAAGTTTCTACTGGGTGGCATATGAAGCAATGCAAGTGGTCTTAAAAAAAATCAACTTTTTGGTTCTGCAGTGAAATTTTTATCTTGAACTCATTTTAAAAATCTTGAGTTTATCACAGTGGACTTGAGAAAATAATACATACCAGGTTGCATGAATGCACTAAATATTTGGAAAAAAACTTCACTAAGTCCAAAATCTTCCGGAATCTCAGATTTCAGGGCAAATTCTAATTTGGGTCATTTATCATGCAACCCTGTACATATGTAAGTATATCGATATATATTTTGTCTTAGATTGCCTATGAAATTTAAGCTTCAATATGAGTTCCAGATCGTGAAAATCGCACCCAGAGCAGAAAAGTTATCTCTGCAAGACCAAAAAGTTGTTTTTTTGAGACCACACCAAGCATGCTAAACTTTTCGAAATTCTGCTTCCGTGCCACCCTGTAGAAAATTTACCTCAGGTGCTTAATTCAAACGATTGACTAACAATAAACAAATGGGGCTCAATAACGCTTCAAAAATAAACCAAATGGATCAAAGCAATCAGAATGTATCCAGTTCCAAAGTTAGTGCAACTTTGGATGTGTAACGTTCATTTGTATTTTCTTTATCATTTAAGTAGGTACTTATTTTCCAAACATTCATTTCTTCTCAGCTTTACCAGGTGAATATCTCAATTTAGTTATAATGTAACTATTTAAAATGATTCAATTCATACTAACAGCTTTTCTTTTCAGCTTTGAACTGGTTATATTTTACTTAATACATCATTTAGGTAGTTTTTTTCCTAACAGTCAAGATTTTTCAGCTTTATCAGCTAACTGTTTGAAATGTATGTATTTATAAGTAAGAGCGTTTTCTTGCAGCTTTGAACGGTTTATATTTCATAATATAAACTTTATTTAAGTACTGTATTCTCTTTCTTAGCGTTCTCATTTGATAGCCCTTTCATTTATATGAACGTTATGAATATGTGAAGGTAACTTTTCATTTGTTAAAAAGAGTTTTCTTAAAACTTTAAGCCTAACTGCGACGACTGATCCTTATATGAGTTAATATTTTCGTACTGAACTTCTTTAAAATAGAGCTATTATTGCTCGAATTTATTTCAATTCGGAAAGCCCAAACCGTGTACTTTCAAAGCGATAGTCTAATGCTCTTATGTCTTATCATTTTAGTAAAACAGCCCCTTTAATGCAATGCAAAACAACATGGCACGTGTTAGAACGCTTCCAAGTTTAAATAATTACTACAGTTTTGATTATTGTACGTCTTTAAATCAAGCCTCATCTCATGAATTTAGGAAGAATTATATTCTAAACATCGGTGCGAATAAATGTGCAATGCGCTTGTAATTATAATAAATGTATCAACAATATTTGTACGGTCCTACCTTGAAAGTATTAACATCTTTGTGTCTAGTTGATTTTTTCATTTTGGTGCACCACTTTACGTTCGAACGCACAAAGAATATTTTTGGAATGACTTCCAATGGAATAGAATTTTAAATTGCTTCTTTACACAAGCTCGAACATTTATCTGCATTTAACATTAGATTATTTTGGCACCTCAATAACCTCAATCAAAAGCATGTGGAGATCTGACGTGAACTTCAGTGCAATACAGGTGGGTATCGTTGTAGAGCTTTGGCAACGTGCAGTGCGATCAACATTTGGTTAATTCTGAAATACGGTTTTTTCGAGTGCAAAAATCGGCTAAAATTACCTGCTATAATTAAATTAAATACATTAGCTAATAGCATCTTCTTCTTTCTGGCATTATCTACATAAATTATCAACCTCAAATTAATTTCTAATCTGTCATCTGCTGTCATGATCAGAACCAAATTATGATAACATAACATTTAGTAAATTCTGTTTATTTTCATCATTTATCAGCAAGCAGTAAAAACTAAGGTTTTACAATGTTTCGAAGACTTTTTGATCTGATCAAACTGTTGTTTGCATTGTTTAGTTTTGTTTCTGTGTTTTACATCATTTTAGAATTCGCTTACTTTATTTCATATTCAAAGCCTGTAGTTCGAGGCAAAGATGGTAAGGAATTTGCTGTAATTATACATAATTTTAACTTAAAATCAATCAAATTCAGATCCCTGGATCAATTTATTCGGTGCCTTATTCACCGATATGCTCCTTTTGTCGTTGTTTGTACTACAACACTCTGCAATGGCTTCGCGAACTTTCAGAAGGGCTGTGCACACATTGGGGCTCTATGATATTACAAGAAGTATTTACATTACGGCAACTGCCGCCGTTCTTTGGGTAAGGTCAATTTTATTCACATTAATATTCTACGAAACTGCAGGAATTCTAAATGGGTCAAATAATCTAAAAATAACTGAATTATGCCATAGAATTAGTTATAGGAACTTATCACTGATTATATCTGGCATGGGTCTACAACAGCTTCATTTTTAACTCAAATTGGATTTTTAATCTACCGTTTTGGCTTTGATATCAATTATCTTTGTGTGCCCCAGTGTAATCATCATCATCATTATCCAGCCATTGCGTCCGCTGTCGGACATAGGCCTCCTCAAGTTTCTTCCAAGTTTATAGTTCCTGTGCCGCTGGAATCCAGTTGGTGTTGATCTTTTTCAAATCATCTGGTCTTCCCGGATTTCGTTTGTCTGACCATGGCCTCCATTTTAGGAATTCTGGTCCATCTGCGATCTGTTTGTCGTGCTACATGACCGGCCCACCTCCATTTCGACTAAGATCTTTTCAGGTGTCTTTCTTTTAGATGACCTTTTCTTTAGAGATCTTTCCATCTTTCTTTGTGTGACACTCAATTTTCTTGCTGAAGCCTTAGTGAGCGTTTGGGTTTCTACCCCATATATGAGAACCGGTAGGATACACGTGTTAAGTCTTCTTTTTTAGACTTAGAATTTTGTTCTTAAATATGTGTCTCAATTTGCCGTTGCGGCCCATCCGAGGTTTATGCGCCTTAAAAGTTCAAGTTTGGTTGTCCTTGCTGATTTTTAATTCGTGTCCCAGATAGGTATACTTTTCTACATATTATTCTCCCTCTATGTATGCATATATTTCCTGTGGTACTTGGTTTGTCATTGCCTTAGTTTTGATATAATTCAGCTTCAGACCAACCGCTTCCATTTCATTCTGGAGTTGTTGCAGCATATCTCGTGCTTCACTTAGATCATCCGTCAACACTATATCATCCGCGTATCGTAGATTATTTAGTTTTTCTCCATCTATTTTAATACCTTTGTTATCCCAATTTAGTCTTAAAACCGTATAGTATAACCGCTGTGAATAGTTTTGGTGATAAAGTATCTTCTTGGCGTTTCCCTCGTTTCTTATCCATTTCTTGCGTAGTTTTACGTCTTACAGTCGTTGTTGCATGTTTATATACAGGCTGTAACGAGGCAAATTTACAGAAAAATGGGTGTGACAAGTTCCTCTAGCACTTTTGCGAAAACTCAATAGTAACGGATGTACAGGGCGTTGAAGTTAGACTTAAATTTAACTTTTTTGTTGTTTATCATATTGTTTTCAAATTTGGCACATTTATTACCTATGGCCAGTGGTATTATTGTTCAAAAGTTCAGATTTATCCGTTAATGCTAAAGGGTTGAACTCATCCGTGTCATCTACTCAATAAACTATATTTTTTTTACTTTCCACTTTTTGTTGTGAATATTTCAAAAAATTTACGAGTGTTCAAAATTACGTAAAAAATGTTTACTACTTATGGTTTCCTGGTTGGTGGTATTCCTACTATGCCCCGCTTTATGTTTTCCAGTTCCGTTTTAATCTCTATAAGTTTTTCTTTAGATGGAAGTCTTCTTACATTATACGATGGAACTTTTAGTGTTGTTTGTTTTGTTTCTTGTAAAATTTGCCCCATACTCCTTGGCCCTGACTGATATGTAAGTAGGAGATTGTGGGCTATTCGTCCTGTGGGGGCGCCGCTGTTTGCAGCCGCGCACTTCGAGTCAGACGCTGCTTTGCTAGTTTTCCTCTATCCGCCACTTGAGGGGCGTCCGGCAGGGGACTAGTAACCCCCGGGCAACAACAACTGTAAATTAAACAATATTCATTCATACCCATTAGGTTTTTTTTCTAAATCAAATGACTAGAAACCATCAAAACCTAATTGTTTGTATATTTAACCAAATTTACGTAGACCGTCATAAAGTACTGGCAACCAACATCCCATCACATCTTATGGAATATCAACCCCAGTAACAAGCAATTGAGATATGCTTTCACTGGAATCCATGTTATAGCGTGGATTATTATTTATGTAGCCAACATATGCACGGATGTGCCCGAATTACTTGGTTTAAAACAGGTGAATATCTAGTTGTTTAGCAAACCCGTTCGTTAAATATTTAGCGTTCAGGTCTACTATAAGCTGATGAATCTACCTGAACCAATCATGATGAAATCATATCGTCTGCAAAAGCTAACCGCCCATATGAGACATCCAAGTTTTCTTGGCTTTTTATTAGTGTTCTGGTTATCACCAGTAATGACGTAAGTGTTTTAACTTACTTAATCCAATCCAATCCAATCCCTATGGAATTGTTCAAATTTCAGCATAGATAGAGTTTTACTCGCAACAATCCTAACACTTTATATGTACATGGCATGGAATACAGATGTACAAGATTACAACTATCAGAAGTATATGTACCAAAAGAAGTACCATGAATTAAAAAGGCTTAAAGTCAATTAGCGAGAATGGAATGTTTTAAAAGCGGAATTGATGGATAATACCACGGACAGTAGTTATTTTAGTGAGTTCAAAGTACAAAACGTCGTAATTTTATTCAACGGTTGATGCTTCTAATTTATTTTCAAGGGAAAATTAATAATTTTCGTTTATTGTTAATTGTAAGGTCAACTTACTAACGTTTATTATATTGGATAAGTATGGGCAAAAATGACGGAGTAATAAAAAGTATTAACACCTAGAATATAATGTGCATGCTTAAAAATTAATTGTAATTATTTGATTTGATTTATTGTTATCCAACAAAAGCAACCCCCGATTGTGATTTTCAAATCTTGTTTGTTAGGACCTAATAACTGGAACTTTAAATATAAGGTTAAATGTGGGAACAACTATTCCACTCAAATAACAAGAACGAAATGATTTCGTAATACTTTAATAGGAGAAATAAAATCAAAACTTGCTTATTTTGTATACAAAAGTAACATTTCAAATATATGTATAACGAAAAATTTTAGTAAACATTTATACAAAGTGACCTATAGTTATTAATAATGTATTTCAATTAAAAGCTAGAATAATTCTGCACTTACACTATTTCATACTTTTCGGGATACAAGACGGCGTCCACTGAATGCTTCACGGGAGAATCATCATCCACTAACAGAACATCTACAATCTGAAATATAGTTTCGCTTAGTGAAAAGTGTTGACTAGAGACTCAACGGTATGCAAGTCCATTTTCTAGTTTAAAAATATTCTTTGAACAAGACAACGAACAGTTTGAAAAATGTTTTTCATTTACAGGATGTCTGAAAAAGTCTCAATTTCTATGCGTATCTCAAAACATCATTCAATTTCCCTTGATAGTTAAGCAAATTAATAATGTTTCGTACACTTGGAATTACTGATAAGAATGCGATTGACACCATTGGCCCCAAAATTAAGAAAGTTACTACAATAAGGGCGGGTATTATAATGTACGGTTAACCAACGGTTGAGATTGACTCAACCCGAAGACGTGGTTTGTTTGAGATTTCAACTGGGAGTTTGAAGCAGGTAGAAGCATGGTGCAACCCACGATCAACGAATTTTTAACAACAGCAAATTGCAGAATCGATTCGGAAGGAGGAATAATTCAATAAAGTTTCTCGCTAATATGAAGATTTTGAATTGACAACGTTAAATCTTATTTTCAGTTAACTTCCTCTTACCTTAATACTAGCGTATGATGTTTTCGAGGTGAACGCAACAGTCAACGGGAAAAAGTCACTTGGGATGGCCTTTGGTGCATTAAATTCTACTGATCCTGTTTTATTGCTGCCGTCTATGAATGGCAAACTCCAAACTAACTGATTTTTCCTGCTCTCGTGCACGTATGTGCCGTCACATTCGCCAACTGAAGGAGAACATCCGATGCTGCAAAAGAACAGTTGCAACCAACATAAAGAGATTAGTGAGTCTAGAACTCACGGAAGAGGGATGGCAATGTTCACATCGGCAAGTTCCAAATTAGTGTGAGTTAATTCATACTCAATGTTAACGTCGCAACTGCCATCGCCGGCTTCAGAAGGCCAGCAATTGATTAGCAAAGGCACGTAAGACTCTTCGGTGCTTTGGAGACGCCATTTCAAAACGCCCACATCGGAATGAAGCGGGAAGGGTTTTGCGGCCTGCTTCAACCCAATCTAAACACACAAGTGAGTTCCATTGCGTTAAAATTATTTTTTATTTAATTAGTATTTGGTATACCTGGGAATGTAGCTTGAACAATTCTTTATCCACCTGAGGGTGAGTCTGCAGTTGAACGCCCCTGGTATCTTTGTTTTCTAACTGAACTCTTATCCTGCCCCACTTTTCGTTGCCAATATGCAGAGTTACAAGCCCCAGAACCTCAAATTGTTGAACACCGCCGTCCCTACCCAGACGCACTATCAGCTTCTCTTCTAATCGCAGATGGACGCTAGAATATGGACCAGAAATATATTTTATGTGCTTAAGCGGGATTTTATTATCACTTACTCATCCACGTCTGACTTTATTGTTGGCGTCTTCAATGCTGACTGTATGTTGTTGGCTGGCGCGATTACTTTCTCTCCTTCAGACTTCAGCTGATCGACAAACGATTCAACGTCCTTTCCTTTGCTTCCCAATTTCATGCCCCGTTTTCTGTTAAAATGGGATTTTTAACCAATGAAAATTCAAGAGAAAATTAACTCACTGTGTAACCACGTGTGAAGGAGGTTTTACATCATTAGCTACACTAACTACGTCCACAGACGCGGTAGGAGTATAAGAGTTATTTGAGGTGGATCCAAAACCGCCACTGCTTCCAAAGTTAGCCTTGATGCCCTTCTTCACTTGCTCTAACTTTTGACGTTGAAGTTCTTTCGCTTTTTCGCGCATCTTCAACTTTGCTTCGCGTTCTTGAGTCTAGTGGCCAAAATAAAATCAGTTGAAAATTAGCAGCTCTTTATAATAAACAGAATCAATAGTTACCTGGCGGACAGCTTGGTACACTTTTTCTTCGTGAGAGTCCATCTCAACAAAGGTGCGAATTTGAGATAAATTAACACTTTCCCTATACCCTAGGGCTACAATTTCGTCAAAAGCAAAAATTAAGTTAAAGGCATTTTCAATGATCTCGTTTTCCTCTAGTGACCTGCAGTATTCCGGAATCTGTAAAATGAAAAAGCCATGAAATGTTTTCGATTAATCGTTGTAACGAAATAGGCAACTTACAACTCTGGCGAACAAGCGCAGAGTTTCCAGATCTTCCAAAATATTACTGGCTCTAGTCGTAATGAGAAGCATATAAAGGCGTTCCAACGGCTGATAGACGTAGCGCACAGAATCGGTCTCCACAAAAGTGTGCTGAGTTCCAGTTGGGATCAGTTTGGGGAAAGCCGCTAAAAGACCTTCTATGCGAGCTTTTGTCATTTCAACAAATTGTCGCGATACAATGGCTGCAATAACAGACGTTTAAGAACTCACCGTTCAGTTCAATACTAAGATTAAGTATTTTTATCCAACAAAAATCATATGAAGTCCTTTGCGATTTATTTTTGCATTTGAAAAGTAAGGTTCTCATCAACTGATGTCGTGTGTTAGTGATCGTGATGGTAATTGGTTAAAAGCGGTAAACAAATTACACACTACACTACTTAAACACTACTTTTCTCGTACCAACGTTTCGGCTATATTACTATTATATTATAACTATTAACCGAAAAAAGCTTCTTTTACTAGTTGCGATTAACATTTTTGAATATTCGATTTTTTTATGAAAACAAGTTTCCAATTGGTCCTCTAAAGTTTCACGTGCATTAATTTGCTTATCAATGAAATTATTCGTTGTGAAATTCCTACTATTAAACTTAGCAGACAAAAAAAAACATACAAAAAAATAAATAAATTGAACGGAATTGAAGTTTAAATAAATATATTAATATACAAATAAACATAATAGCAAATAAGTTGAAATAGTGGTAAGTGTACTCATTGTGGAGCAGATTTCTAAACAAGTTATTTGTTGTCAACTTATTTTGCTTCAAAAGTTATTCAGGCTTTTTGTGTTAAATTAAATTACGGAATGACCTATCTGATAACATACGAGTCACGGAAGTTTAAATTTATTTAAAATTCAGCGGATTGTTTTGTGGAAAAATCTCGACCCCGTCAATTTTTTTGTAAACGTAATTTTTTTTGCAAAACTGTCCATCGCTCGGGGAATCTCGTCCTTTCATCTGCCGTTGCCGATTACGGCGAATGTGTGAGTTTTTCAGGTTCAGTTCCGTGCTAGGGACGAGTTCCTACACTGCTACGTTCTCAATGCATGTTTATTTTTAAAATGGCAACAGTATTAAACGGAAGAGAAATGTTTTAACGATTTAAAAAAAAACTAGACATTTTAAACAAACGGGACAACGGTGGAAGTGTTGCATCATTATGCTTAAAACATGTGAACCGCACCCCCATTCACTATTACAACCAGCCAGCTGCTTGGACAACTTGCGATATCTGTCAAGATTGGTTTCATAAAAAGTTCTTTCCTAAAGTAAAGTCTTATGTGAAGAAGAAAAAGTTGCCCCAAAAGGCACTTCTTCTGGATAATGCTCGTTTTCATCTCAATGAGGCAGCCTGAAGAGACCAATGGATGATCAAGAGAACAAGGTGTTATTGAGACAATAAAACGCCTCTACCGAAAATAACTTATGATTAACTTGTTGGACGAAGTTGATCTAATAAAGTTTTGGAAATCGTTCACGATCAAAGACGCAATTTTTCCAGTGGCAAATGCATGAAGTGGAGTGAAAGAAATGACTTTCAAAAAAGCTTTTCACAAAATAATGACAATAGAGGAAGATGAAAGCGATTTGTAGCGAGATTGTAGAATCCGATGTCAAAGAAACGACCATAACAGAACTAACTGCATTAGCATGTAGCGCCGATGAATTCAAAGAAATCGATACACGTATGTATGTATGATCAAAAGTCTTCTATCTTACGACTAAGGCAGTAAGCGTTTCAAAAAAAAATAGGAACGACAATGATGAAGTTTTTACACTGTTTCAAGTACATACAATATTGTAATTTCAAATTTCACAAATGAGTTGGAAAGTCATTTAATATTTACATGTTTTTTAAATTTTAAGTAATTAGAAACGAGGATTAATTTATCCACGTATTTCAACATGTTGTGCTACGTAAATGATGCTTTGTTACGGATTTACAGGGTATTGATATTTACTTTAAAAATTCAAGATGATAAAATTGCCAAACACTGGCCAAAACTAGAGACGTGTTTATTTGTTCACCATGCTTCTTTCTGAGTAAAAAATATCTATGCAAAAATCTGGTAAAATATGTTTGCATTGAAGAAATTTATCATTTTTTGGGCAAGATAAAACGATTAAATTCTATTAAAACAATCACTCTTTTATGCTTCGTTAGTAACAGGTAAAAACGATTCTCACTTATTTACACCGATGGTTTTTTTTCAATTTTTAGACGGATTTTTTAAGCTTTATTGAGAAGAAAGGTCCTCTTTGCAACTTTGCTAGTGCCTAATTTTGGAGTAAAATCAATTTTGATATCTTACTGACTGATTTGGAATTCAAAGATGAACTATGACTGAAGAAGGTAATGACGAGAATTTCATTATTTAATCTAATTCCTGTGATAATAAATAAAAATCTTCTTTGGTATTCCAACATTGAAACGTTAAGAGATTAATAACAACTTTGGGATTCATTCCCATTTAAACTAGTTTTCAAACTTTTGTCCCAGGAATCTGTTCTCAGTTTCCAATCATTACTTGCCATTTTGCCACTGTAAAATCGAGTATTTTAAAAATATTCGGTAGTATAATAATAATAATAGTAATTAAAAAGTCACTTCTATACAGTGCAGCTGAAGTTAACTCACTATCTCTCAATATGCTAAAATCTGGGTCAATTTAAATGCTGTTTTCCTCTAATTATGTTCAAATGTGTATTCGATATTACTAAAAGTGTAGCCTAAAAAACGGAGAAAAATAGCATGTTGTTGCAAAGTTTTTTTTTTTTTTTGCAAAGCAGTGTCTCAATGGGCCAAAACTAATACTGTGTATTTTTTTACATTATACAAGAACGAATTTTGTTGTATAGTAGGCGCCCCAATAACATGGCCTCTGACCTTTGCTTTTGTATGGACTTTCAATTAATGATTCTCATAAAAAACAACCAGTGGCAATATTCTAAGTAAGATAACAGGCACATATTGCTTGAAATATTCCTAGATGAACTTACCTTTGCCTGCCTTAGTGCAGACTGCTGCAGCTATGAGAACCTGAAAAATAGAAACATATTCACTTTATAGTTGACCGATCGGTTCCTTGAAAAGCAGCAAACAAGCTTAGAAACTTACCATTTTAACGGCTTGTCGTGTTACACTTATTTACAATATTTTCTGAAAGAAAACATTACACCTAAACTAAAATGGAAAATTGGATGACGTTGACTGGTTGACGTCTTCCAAAATTTGCAATATTCTTTAATTTAGTGACATGTCACATGTCAGCCTCGTTGCCTTTTTTATCTTTGTCTAGTATGTGGAAAAAACGAAAGATACAACCTGGCTGTCCTGTATTGTGTCAATTAATATAGCAGGTGCATCAACCCAAAGAAAAATTAAATGTTATTTTTATAAGGGGACTTCAAAAGTCAAAGCCAAGTTTACGATGAAATTGTATAACTATGGAAAAAAATTATCGTAGCAAATTCAGCTGGCGATGGGCGCGTTGCAAAACGTAAACTAATGAGCCTCTTTGACCGGTGATGCCAGATCGGTTAAATTCAAATCCCAGATGGACACCTAAAAACTCCCTAGTTTTCCCTAAATTTTGAAAAGGTAAATTATAACTAAAAATTATTTAAAAAATGTAAAAAAACGAGCTCATGATTTTGCTTCAATTTTTAATATTAATTATTATTTTAATTAAAACTTCATCATCGCATTGGCATATAGCGTTCAAAGCCTCATTGCTTTATCTATTATGTACGTTTGCACAAATTGTCCAATTTTTCAACATTTAGAAGCTCATATTCGTCCAGTAAATTGTTGTATTTGCCCAAGTTATATCAAAATAACTGAATTGTATCTTCAAGAAACTTTTGTTTTACAACAGTATCTTCACTAATGCCGGGTCCCAAATGCGGATCCAGGGGGGGGGGGGTCATGGGGGCCCCCCCCATTCAATTCTCTATCCAACGATACCAAAACGAATTCTCTGGCTCTAAATGTTCTTGAGAAACTTCGAAAAAAGCAGCGTCATGTTCAAGTGGATTTTGCAACTCAAAGATATTTTGTGATTGAACCCATAGATAAAGACTGACCATAGAACCATATATGAAGACAAGTGCTGTCAGAGACTTGTCTCTGGTGCTGTATTAATAGTGAGTACAGAGAGTAATCTGTGCTAACCCAAACTACAGCACTCACACGAAAGTATACTATTCCATTTACTTATAACCATTTTGTGCAGTCTGGCAACATTGCACAAAATATGGCGTAAATATTGACACAATATAGAGATTTTATTACAGTTTGTAAATGTTTTCTAGTGTGATTCTATCGACCATCCGCGATTTTTTTCTCCTTGAATATGCTTTATTTATGTGTACTTTAAGGGAAAATTGAAAAGAACGCCCAAATCCGCCAGATATAACGTGCACCTTCACCCAAGGCTTATATATTCAGATCAACATTGTGGTGGATCTTAGGTTAGGTCGTCTCGCCCATCTATCGTCTCTCATTAACGTTGAAGCATGCGCAGAAAGAGGTCAGTTTTGCATTTTTTTTGAATAATGTATGCTAATAATTCGGGTATTCGAGTATTTCAATATTCAAGAAGCGAATATTTATGTCTAGTCATAACTCCAATGTTCGATTATTCGAATATTCGAATACCTACACGAATATTCGAATACTCGACTACACCAAAGTTATTAAACTCGCAAGGTGCAAATATCTTTATATGCACTTTGCATACTTTTATAAAATAAATTATTCATATTCTACAAGCATTTAAACAAATACTCATATATTTGCAAGCAAATGAAGATAAATCATTTACCCTCCTGCAAATGAACATAAAATTACGTGTGTTATGGTGACTCGCGCCATCAACTTTTGCGCGGTTTTACAATTAATTACAAACGATCGGCACTTTTTTAAGTTACCTGCTAAAATCGTAGAAAAAATGTCTCCTTTGCTATCTTTGTTGACATATCTTGACATTTTTCAACCAAAGGCATTTTGAAAGGTACTGAGAGTGGCTTCTATTAGTTGAAAATGTATGTATTATATTGTCTAGAGTACAACTACGAAAAGCACATTTAGGAATGTTTTCCGGGCTTTGAAGCCGTGGTCTATGGAAATTTCTTCCTGACGTTTCGTCCACAACTGCGGTGGACATTATCAAAGGCGATGAGGCAGTGGGCGAAGTGATCTCCCGTGCTTTCCGACTAAGACTGGCCTCATCGCCTTTGATAATGTCCACCGCAGTTGTGGACGAAACGTCAGGAAGAAATTTTCATAGACCACGGCTTCAAAGCGCGGAACACATTCCTAAATGTGATTTAACCGGCCGTGAAAGCCTTCATAGTCTGATAACTACGAAAAGGTCATAACATAATTAAATAAAAATAAATTAATAAATATAACGATTTTATCAAAATGTTTATATTGCAAAAAAATAATCAACGTCAATATCTGGATTAAACTTACTAGACAGTTCTAAAAAACTAAAGCATTTTCTAATCGAAATAAAATAACATTGAGTTATAAGTAGGTACAGTACCTACGTATTAAAGTGAAAACTTTAAATTGTTTTCTATTATTTTAAAAATAAGGACCGAAAGAAATTGTTAAATATTGGAATTAAGAAAACATATTTTCTTTACATTTTCAGCTTTTAGGCATGCCCTTTTTGCCGTTACTATATTCCCAGCCGTAGAAAACGCTCTTTCGGAGGAAACTGAAGTAGCTGGAATGCATAAAAAAAAAATTCGCATACTTTGAAAGTTTCGGATATTTTTGTTCATTATTTTTCCACCATAAAAGTGGTGACATATTTTTTGGTAACACTGATTCTACACAATACATATCAATTTCATCTGAAAAATGTTGTTGTTCCCCGCTAAACAATTTTTCGTTTCGAAACGTTTGAGTTACCTGCATTATATGTTTCAGAAATGTTTATGTAACTGCAAATGTCCGCCCTCAGACACGTTTCGCTGAAACATTGCAGAAACGTTTCGTTGAAATGTTACTGAAGCGTTGCGCTAGACGTTATTTAAACGTTGCAAATAAATATTTTGTAACATTATACATGGTGTATCGTTGAAGAGTGCAAATATTTTAATTGATGGTAAATAATGGCCCTAGAAGCAGAACTATAGGATTGCGCTGCTTCGAGGACAAAAATATACCATCAGTTAAAATATTTGTACTCATCAACGAATCACTATGTTCAAAGTTTCATGATTCTATAACGTTTTCTAACGAACTGTGCACGTAACTGTATGTATCATCGCCCCAAAATGGGTCTACACTGTAGATACTGTAACTGTTTAAAATTTTATTCAAAACTTATGGGAAATAACAATTTGATAGAAAATTTAATTTAGAAGTTTACTATTAAAATTCTCACTTGACTATTTATCCGCTATTTATTTGACCAACAACATACAAACAACTCACCTAACTGACGGAAAGTCGGCATGTCTACTCATGGACATCAACAAGGCTTTTGATAGTGTCTGGCATAGGGGCTTGCTATACAAACTATACAAACTCCACACACCACCATATCTACTATACACCGTAAAGAACTTGACAACACACTCTCCTTTTCTTTTTCCCCGCTCTCGCCCTTTCTCTACAGTATATACTGCCATGACATATACAATTACAACTTACCAGACAAAA